TGCTACCTGAGCAGACGCGTACAGCTGCGGAGACAAAGGAGCGGAGCGTGAAACAGTGGTGAGGGTGTACAGACTGGACCCCGGCTCACGAGTGAACGTGGCCAGGTGGCGGCCAGTCTTGGAGCACGTGCAGATCGCCACACGCTGCCCTCCAGGAGTCCAGGTGTCAACCCAGTGATCCTGGAGGACGGCGTTGCTCACCAGGTTCGTAGAGAACGAGGGAACGAGGAGACCTGACAGCTCACCAGACGGGCCCGCCGGGCACGGGAGCACAGTCGTGGCTCGTGCAAGCACTGGGCCCCCAGAGGGGTCAGCCAGGGAGACAGGGACAGGTGCAGGGAGGGGAGTGACGGTGGTGCTATCGTGAAAGAAACAGCGGGAAGCACCAGAGTCAAGTGTAAACGTGTGCAAGGCCTGAGCCGACTCAGTACCAAGGGGAGCAGACTCACTAGCACCTAGGGCTGCAGCCCTTATACCGGGGTCAGGCGGCACACACAAGTAGCAGTCACCCTCAGCACTAACAGTCAATGCATACATGGCAGCAAGAATAACATCATAGTCCAGATCAAAGATAGGCACATCACGCCTAAGCAGCTCTGCCCAGTTGGGGAACTCAGTAGCATCAGGATACTTAGTACGCCAGGCGTCACTAAGCCTAGCAAAACAACGATACTCAGTGTGAAAACCGTTGCAGGGGCGACCCTTGCGGGGGCCAGTACGAATGACATAGGGGCAGCGGTCAGAACCACGAGACGCCCCACGCCCAGCATACCAGTCATTGAGCTGCTGGGAGGTGAGGGGAGGAAGCTGCTGCTGCTGCTGTGGCTGTTGCTGCTGCTGCTGCTGCTGGCCACCCTTCTGGCCAGATCCACCCCCACTCCCACCTCCACCGCCACTGCCGCTGCCTCCTCCCCCACCACCGCCGCCGCTGCCAGCGCCTCCACCGCCTCGGTCCTGCCGCCACCCCCACCCACCGCCTCCACCCCCACGGCCACCCCCACCACCTCCACCACCCCCGCCGCCTCCACCACCGCTCCCTCCACCGCCACCTCCGCCACCCCTGCCACCCTTGCCGCCCCTGCCACCACCACGCTTCCCACCAGGAGCGGAAGCCGCTGCGACCTTCTCCGCACCGAGGAAGTCGACAGCAGTAGCAGCAGAGGCGTAGGAGGGGTCAAGAGGGGAGGGGGAGCACCCCTCAAAGAGGGGAGTGCGGGGAGTGCCACGAGCAGCACCGACAGCGAGGATGTTCTTCTCTGCTGCGACCAGCTGCTGCTCGAAGTCGTCCAGAGTGATAGTTGGAGGATCCTTGGCAAGGAAGTAATCCCTGACAGAGCGAAGAGTGTCAGGGAGGCGGGTGACGAGGATGTAGAGGGTGAAGTACAGCGGGGGGGTGTTCGTGGCGAGGAACTCGTCGGTAAGAGCGGCTCGAAAGCGGGCGTCACTAGCGCGGAGGTGAGTGATAAGGTCGGCAGCAGTGTGAAACGAGGCTAAGTCTGGGAACAGGTAAGGCAGGATGAGACTACCAACGGTGGCTGTGGCCGGGGCGGAATAGCGGGCAACGACAGCATCATACAGCGTCTTAGCAGTCTTAAGCTGGTTGAAATGCGCGCGCTCAGAGATCGGTAGGTGATTGCGAATAACAAGGCGCGCGACTGCATCACGGAGCTCCCACTGTGCTCGTTCAGGGGCAGGAGCAGTCTCAGCGGGAGTAGGGACAGTGCCGGTCACATAGGCTAGCAGTGACACTCCGTCTGCGACGTCAGTCATAAGGTAAAGGCGCAGGTCACTAAGCCAGGTGTCAAACTCGATGGGGCGGCCGTCAGGCTCAAAGGCGAGAACAGTAAGGGTCGCCATGGTTGCAGCGCAGGCAAAAGTAGCAGGCTCAGGCAGCAGGCTCAGGCAGCAGGCTCAGGCAGCAGGCTCAGGCAGCAGGCAAAGACTGCAGGTTCAGGCAGCAGGCTCAGGCAGCAGGCAAAGGCTGCAGGCTCAGGCAACAGGCAACTGTAGCAGGTAAGGAAGCACGCAGTTCTGTGACAGGCCGCGTGTAGGCTGGCGGGGCGCGACGTGAGCTGCGCGGGCGGTGCGCGGGCCGCGTGCGGACTGCGCGCGGGCTGCGCGGGCTGCGCGCGGGCTGCGCAGGCTCAGTGCGGGCCGCGCGGGCTCGGCGCGGGCTGCGCGCGGGCTGCGCGGGCTCAGTGCGGGCCGTGCGGGCTCGGCGTGGGCTGCACGGACGGTGCGCAGGGCAGCTGCGGGCCGCGCGGGCTCAGGGCGGGCTGCACCAGCGACCTACGGGGCGCGACGCGGCTGGCAGCAGCTGTGCGCGCTAAAAAAAAAAAAAGGCGTGCGCGCGCAGCCGAGGCGCGCGCGGGCAGCAGGCTAGGCAGATACGTATGCAAGGCAGGCAGGTAGGCCGTTGGGGAGGTAACTTAGCACATGGTGGGCCCTTAAGCTTAGGTCTAGGAACCTGCTCTAGATGCCATGTCGAGAGAATCAGGCAAGGTTGAGTTCACTATGGAGAGTTTGGTACAAATAACACAACCCTAAAGTGTTATCCCCTATAACATCTACCCCACTACAGCCTACCAATATATATCACACATATATATCATTTGACAAGAGGGATTATGGTATGAGGCTTGCCTGATACAATGTGCAAAGGGTTTGGGACCCAGGTCAACTTCAGTGTGATGCTACGCGAGTCTCAGAAGAGGTTGGTCTGATACTGTAAGGGGCAGTAGTAGGAACACCCCCTGAACCTGAAGATACCGGTACAAGGGTGGTTTGGTTTTCTTCATCACATCGTGGATCTAAGAGCGTGTTCCTATCAGGCAACCTCGTATCAATTTCGCGTCGAACCGCACTAAAACGCATCCAACCGCAGTCGAACACACTGAAACGCATTTCACCACGCGAATCTGATAAGAGGTGTTTCTGATACGAGGTGTTTCTGATACGAGGTGTAGGAACACGCTCTAAGGATGTCACAACGACGGTCAAGCAACTTGCAATGTGTTCATCACATCACTGCAGCAACTTCAAGGGTGCCATGGACACAGGGTAAGCTGTAGGTGCATGGGGAGCCATGCTTGAGGTGCGCATTGCATGTCGCGTGCATGCAGGTGTGACTATCACCACCCCACCCCGCCCACATGCACCAAGCGAGGGTCATGCATAGTGGGGCACGGGGAGGAAGGGAAAGGGAGCAGCAGAGTAATACGCCACTGGAGGAAGACTCGCCCTCCTCCTGCCCTCACCCCTCTCGCCACTCCCTGCTGCCCCCCATGCCCTCCTCGCCCCGGCCTCCCCCCATGCCTTCCGCCCCACCTCCTCCCTCGCCCCCTGCTCTCCCGCTGCTGCTCCCCCTACTCCACCCTCGCCTGCACCTGCCATCACTGCAGGAGTGTGGGAGGGAAGTGGCGCATGGGTGAGTGCGGGCGCATGGGTGAGTGCGGGCGCGGAGGCGGGGAGAGAGCATGGGCGGGGAGGGGGTGGTGGGGAGGCGGTGCAGCAGCATGGCGGCCATGAGGGCGGGCAGGAAGAGCAGGCTGGCGCGGAACAGCTGCCTGGCTGATGCTGACGAGGGGCTGCGATAGAAGGGCACTGCCGCTGCTGTGAACGCCCCTGTTAGCAGCACGTTCTCCCATAGAAACGGTGCTGTCGTGCACCCCACTGGGAGAGGAGGGAAGAGGTGAGGGAATAGGCAAGGGAATCGAGAGCATGGTTGGGGCAAGGAGGTGCGAGAGGGCGCACGCATGCATGCAGGTAGGGACAGGGAATGTGCAAAGAGTGAAATGGCATGGGCTGAGGAACGGATGAGCCCAAGTGATGAGACGAGAGGGAAGGCAAGTGCAGGGGTAGGGACGGTAGGGACGGTAGGGACGGTAGGGAGGGTGGGGAGGGCGGGAGAGCGCACGAGAGACGGCAGCGAGTCCCAGTGGCAGCAGGTAGCAGCAGTTGCGCAGCGCTGCTGCTGCTGTGCGCCGCCCCGTGGGGTCCGCTAGTGACAGCATGCGGTAGCTGTGGGGGGGGAGGCGCGAAGGAGGGGAGTGGGGGAGGCAGGGGTGGGAAGTAGAGAGGCAGGGGGTGAGGCGAGGGGATGCAGTGAAGGCACGAGGCAGCAGGAGAAGATGAGCAACAGTGAACTGAGGGGAGCAGAGGACAGAAGCACACGGGGCAATAATCAGCTGTGCAGCAGCCTCGCAAATGCTGAGTCCCCCCCCTCCCCCCACACATACCCCCCTGCAGCATGGTCAACCCTCAACCTCTCCCCTCACACATCCCCTCTGCACTGCAGTGTAGTCAACTCGTCACCCCTCACCCCCACACATACCCCCCGCGCCCCCCCCCCTCATCTTTCACTCACCCCCCGGCAGCATAGTCCTTGCGGCAGAGCCAGGCGAGAGCAAGGAAGTGCGGCATCTGCCAGAGGTACAGCGCGCCTGCTAGCACCCCCGCCCCCCACTCCAGCCCTCCACTCGCTGCCGCCCACCTGCAACGCACAAGGGGAGGAGGGGGGGTGCGTGGGGGGAGGGGAGATGGCACTTGGAGGGGGGGGTGTGGGGGAGGGGAGATGGCACTTGGATGGAACATGCGAGCCTGGCAGCCCTTGCCTTGCTGAATCCTCAGCCTCCCTCATGAATCCCAGGCGAGGGCGAGGAGGTGCGGCATCTGCCAGAGGTACAGCACTCCTGCCAGCACTGCTGCCAGCACTGCTGCCAGCACTCCTGCCAGCACTGCTGCCAGCACTCCTGCCAGCACTGCTGCCAGCACTCCTGCCAGCACTGCTGCCAGCACTCCTGCCAGCACTGCTGCCAGCACTCCTGCCAGCACTGCTGCCAGCACTCCTGCCAGCACTCCTGCCAGCACTGCTGACCTGCGTCCAACCCCCCGATCGCTGCCACCCACCTGCAGTGCGCACGGGGAAAAGGGACGAGTGGGGAAGGAGAGGGGAGGGGAGGAGGGGGGGGGTGGGAGGATGACATGCAGGGAAGGGTGAGAACAGATGAGAGAGGGGATGAGAGATGTGAGGTGAGCAGATCACCTGCCTGCCTGCCTATTCCCAACTCCAGGAGAATTGGACGGCCAGATATTTTCACGAGGCGATCCGACAAGCTTCGGCCGACGGATAGAAAAGGAACATGACCAACCCCCACGTGCTACCCTGCCAGTTCCCCACCCTGCTTCACCTTGCCGTCACCCTCCCAACCGCCCTCAACATCACATCAATATTATCAGCATCATTTCTGGCACCATCATTGGCATGACCATGACCATGACCATGAGCATGAGCATCAGCATCAGCATCAGGATCAGCATCAGCATCAGCATCAGCATCAGCATCAGCATCAGAATCAGCATCAGCATCAGCATCAGGATCAGCATCAGCATCAGGATCAGCATCAGCATCAGCATCAGGATCAGCATCAGCATCAGCATCAGCATCAGCACCAGCATCAGCATCAGCATCAGCATCAGTATCAGCATCAGCATCAGCATCAGCATCAGTATCAGCATCAGCATCAGCATCAGCATTAGCATCAGCATCAGCATCAGCATCAGAATCAGCATCAGCATCAGCATCAGCATCAACATCAGCATCAGCATCAGCATCAGCATCAGAATCAGCATCAGCATCAGCATCAGCATCAGCATCAGAATCAGCATCAGCATCAGCATCAGCATCAGCATCAGCGTCAGCATCAGCATCAGCATCAGCAATAGCATCAGCATCAGCATCAGCATCAGAATCAGCATCAGCATCAGCATCAGCATCAGAGCATCAGCATCAGCATCAGCATCAGCATCAGAATCAGCATCAGCATCAGCATCAGTATCAGCATCAGCATCAGCATCAGCATCAGCATCAGCATCAGCATCAGAATCAGCATCAGCATCAGCATCAGCATCAGCATCAGCATCAGCATCAGTATCAGCATCAGCATCAGCATCAGTATCAGCATCAGCATCAGCATCAGCACCAGCATCAGCATCAGCATCAGCATCAGCATTAGCATCAGCATCAGCATCAGCATCAGCATCAGCATGAGCATCAGCATCAGTATCACTACCATGCCTCCCAGTGTCTCACCCCATGAGCGGTGGGATGGCACCGACGACAGCGCCCACCCACGTGTTGGCGATGTGCAGCTGCTTGAGTGGCGTGTACACGCCCGCGTACAGCAGTATGTTGGCCGCCCCTAGGCCTGCTGTCATGCTGTTGGTCTGCGCACACATGCACGCACACAAGCGCGGAGGGGAGAGAAAGAGAGGGGGGGAAGTGCAGTTGCTTGAGAGGCGTGTACACGCCCCCATACAGCAGTATGTTGTTGAGAGGCGTGTGCCGCTCTCAGGCCGCATACAGGCCCGCCCCCAGGCCTGCTGTCATGCTGTTGGTCTGCATCTGCTTAAGTGATGTTTACACCCCTGCATACAGTGCTATGCATGAGTGAAGGAGGAAACAGGCATGAGGGGCCAAGCAGAAGGTGGGTTGATAGTGAGATGAGGCACTGGAAGGGTAAAGTTGATAGTGAGATGAGGCTGGAAGGGTAAAGTTGCGAGCTGTTGCTCACTGCACGGCATTGCATGTGAGGCAAGAATACCTGACTGCACTGCACACCTAACTGCACCGCACACCACACCTGGGTAGCGAGGATGGCGAGGCCGCTGGCCCCAGTGAGCAGCCCCCATGCAAGCGTGGTGGCGGGTCATCCGCCCTGCTGGTGCTATTGCTTTGCATTACCTGACTGCACCGCACACAACACCTGACTGCACCGCACACCACACCTGGGAGGCGAGGATGGCGAGGCCGCTGGCACCAGTGAGCAGCCCCCATGCGATGGCGTGCTGCCGGGTCATCCGCCCCGCTGGCAGCGGCCTGCCCCTCGTGCGCTTCATCAACGCATCGTTCGCCACCTCGTACACCTGGGGAGGGGGGACACAGGGGCGCGCAGGGGCGCGCAGGGGCGGAGGGGAAATGGGGGGAGCGCATGGGGAGAGAGACACGAGGCGAGCCTAGTGCGGTGCAGCGATGCAGCAGCAAGGAGAGGGTGAGCCGTGCAAGTTGATTTTTGAGTCGACTCAAAAATCGGCGCGCAGGGGCGCGCAGGGGCGGAGGGGAAATGGGGGGAGTGCATGGGGAGAGAGACACGAGGCGAGCCCAGTGCGGTGCAGCGATGCAGCAGCAAGGAGAGGGTGAGCCATGCAGAATGCATACGGGCGACGAGAGGTGAGAGGTGAGGGGTGAGAGGTGAGAGGTGAGAGGTGAGAGGTGAGAGGTGAGGGGTGAGAGGTGAGGGGTGAGGGGTGAGAGGTGAGAGGTGAGAGGTGAGGGGTGAGAGGTGAGAGGTGAGGGGTGAGAGGTGAGAGGTGAGAGGTTAGAGGTGAGGGGTGAGAGGTGAGAGGTGAGGGGTGAGAGGAGCGGCAAGCAACAAGGCCAGCAGACAACGTTGGCAGCCACACCTGGTTCCATGTATTAGCGGAAGCAGCTGCGAGGAAGGTTCCGAGCGAGGTCCATCCAAGTCCCGCCCAGTCAACGCGGTCGCCACTGCCCATCACAAACCCCGCTGCTGCCGTCGCCACCACCAGCAGACTGGGGGGTGAGAGGCGCGCAGGGGGGTGAGGGGCAGAGGGAGGAGTGGGAAGAGACTGAGAGTGCTGTTTGTGGTGGCAGGGCGCTATGCGGAAGGTGCTGTTTGTGGTGGCAGGGCGCTATGCGGAAGGTGCTGTTTGTGGTGGGTGGACGCTATGCGCGAGACGAGGTGAGGCACACGTGGGAGCAATGGAAAAGGTGGCATCTTCACATTCAGAGCAGCGGGACATGCCAGCTCCCCGCCTCCGCACGCGCGCCCACCCACCTGAACCGCGTCACGCCCACCTCAACCGTGCCGCACCCACCTCAACCGCGCCGCACCCACCTCAACCGCGTCTTGCTAAGCTCGTAGTAGCACCGCCCGTAGTGCTTCCACACGCTCACGCCTGCCGCCCGGCCCGCCGCCGCGCCTGCCGCGGGGACCGCGAGGCTTGCGCGGGCGGCGGCTGGCAGAGCGGCGGCGGCGGAAAGGGTGGCGGAAGAGAGGGTGGCGGAGGAATGCGTGAGGGCGGAGCGGAGAGCGGAGAGCGAGGGAGCGGTGATCGCGAGCGCGAGGGGCGAAGCGTGCCGCCATGCGCCGACGCGCATCGCGGTGGCGGCGAGGGCTGCGGGGCCGTGAGGAACGACGAGCGACGGGATTAGGCGAGCGTGATGCGGCGTGGTGGCGGTGGGCGGGGCGGCGTGCGCGAGGGAATGCAGTGGATAAGGACCGCCCGGTGTGGGCGCGCCGTGCGCGCCGCGACACGCGGGCCCATGGGTCAGCGACGCGACCTGCTTGCGCGCCTCGCGACACGCCACCCGCCACATGGTGCTGCTGGTGGTGGCGCGGCGCGAGTGCACGGTCAGCGGCAGCGGCGACGAGGACGGCAAGAGCCGGAAACTAAAAGTAACGACGTTCCTTGATGGATCTAACACGGCGAGACGAGAGCGTGCTGTGCGCCGCGTTTCGTCTCGGACAAGGCAGCGCGGCGAATGACGGCACGGCGGGACGCGCGAGGCTCCCTGAACGCAGCTCGCGCTCACGCACACAAGGCTCAAGGTCCAACGTCTCTGAAATAGTTGGAAGAGAAAACAACACCTTGGCAGAACCAAGGTTGCAGCTTCGGATCAGATCCCCAAGGCAGGTCCGTGGCTCATGAACAAAACTGAACCACAGAGTCAGAGCTATAGTTGTACGCGCTACTAGCTATATCGGGTGTAGCACTCCCATCATTATAGCTCCTACGAACATGTCTCACATAAATTTTTCGTTCCTGCCACTTCGATCAAACTCGAACCTAGGCAGTCAGTACCACGCGAACCAAGCACACAGCGGTCGTCTCATTCAAATCCATCAGAGCCTGTTCATTTCAGTGCCCGCCGCGTCGCGTCTTCATTTCAACGCGCCATCCAGCGAGCTCTCTGTGTAGTCGCCGCAACCAGCGCGTCGTCTCCGTCAACGTCTCGGCCGCGCTTCGCCCTCCACCCTCAGTTCTCGCATCGTGCCCCTCGGCCCTCCGATCTTGCCTCTCGCGCGGTGCGACTGCCGCGTGCTTGCTGCGAGGCGCACGAGGAGCGCAGAGGGCGCGGGGCGGATCGCGACAGCGGCGGGGAGAGCAGCAGCTTCGGTCGGCATGGCGGAGCAACAGCCCACACAGGTGAGGTCGGCCCCGCGCAGGTGAGCCGTGCGTGCCGCTGTTCACCACTCGCGCCTTGCAGCTGAGCGCGCGCGATTCGCGCCAATCCGTTGCGCGCGATCCCGTAAGATCGCGTAGCCTGCCGTGCCTTAAGATCGCATCCCCCGCCCCTCGGCGCCCCAAGATGCCCCTCGACGCCTCGCCGTGCGCACACCTGGCACCGAAGGGCATAACGCGCACCTGGCACCGAAGGGCATAACGCGCACCTGGCACCGAAGGGCATAACGCAGCTCCCGTTGGGGGCGCTGATCGCGCCTCGAAGTCGCACGCCATCCATCCCATGCGCCCCTCCGCCCAGCCGTTGCGCCCCATTCCCACCGCATGTACTGATGAAGGGCGTAACACGCACCTGGCACCGAAGGGCATAACGCAGCTCCCGTTGGGGGCGCTGATCGCGCCTCGAAGTCGCACGCCATCCATCCCATGCGCCCCTCCGCGCAGCCGTTGCGCCCCATTCTCCCCGCATGTACCGATGAAGGACATCCCGCGCGTGCCGGTGGAGCAGAGCATTGATGCTCTGTTGTGCCATGCCATGCCATGCCATGCCATGCCATGCCATGCCATGCCATGCCATGCCATGCCATGCTGCACTGCCCGCCCCCCTCTCCCCGTTGTGCGCCATTCCCCCCTGCGACAGGTATCAGTGAATGACAGAAGCGCCTGCTATGACCCCCTCCGCCCTGCCCTGCTATGCCCCCCTCCCCCCTGCCCTGCTATGACCCCCTCCGCCCTGCCCTGCTATGCCCCCCTCCCCCCTGCCCTGCTATGCCCCCCTCAGCCCTCCTCTGCCCTGCCCTGCTATGCCCCACAGGTTTTAGTGAAGGAAATTCCGCGCCGACCGGTGGAGCAGGTGCGGCAGATCCGCGAGCAGGTGGAGGGCGAGGTGACGCCATGCCGTGCCATGCCCCACTCAGTTCCTTCGCCCCTGTTTCACCCCTCCCTACTCCTTGCCCTGCCCCACAGATATCATTGAAAGACATCCCGCGGCTGCCAGTGGAGCAGGTGCGGCAGATCAGAGAGCAGGTGGAGGGCGAGGTGAAAATGCTCGCCGATTCCCTCGCCTCGCTGCGCGCTGCCCTTGCCCGCATCGATGCCTCGCGCGCTGCCGTTGAGGCCATGGCGAAACAACAGGAAGGTGCGGAGGGTGTGGGGAAAAGAGATGGGGTGGGGAGAGAGCCTAGACAGTGGAGTGGGGGGGTTGAGGTGAAGCTGCTCGCCGACTCCCTCGCTTCCCTGCGCGCCGCCCTCGCCCGCATCGATGCCTCTCGTGCCGCTGTTGAAGCCATGGCGAACAGCAGGAAGGTGGGGAAGGGGGAAAAGTGGGGGTGATAAGAGGTGGGGTGAGGGGAATGCTACAAGCACAGCGGAGTGAGGGAGGCGAGGTGAAGCTGCTCGCCGACTCTCTCGCCTCGCTGTGCGCTGCCCTCGCGCGCATTGATGCCTCGCGCACTGCCGTCGAAGCCATGGCGAAACAGCAGCAAGGTGGGCCAGGGTTGGGGGAGGGATAGGTGGGTCTGGGGAAGAGGCTACGAGCACAGTGGAGTGGGAGAGGTGGGGTGAAGATGCTCGCCGCCGACTCTCTCGCCTCGCTGTGTGCTGCCCGTGCGCGCATTGATGCCTCGCGCGCTGCTGTTGAAGCCATGGCGAAGCAACAGGAAGGTGCGGAGGGTGTGGGGGGAAGAGGTGGGGTGGGGGGGAGAGAGCACACAGTGGAGGGGGGAAGAAGTGGGGGGCGAAAGGGAGGGGGGGTAGGGGAGAGCCTAGACAGCGGAGTGGTGGAGGTGGGATGAATCTCCTCGCTGCGTGCTGCCCTTGCGCGCATTGATGCCTTCGCGCGCATTGATGCCTTCGCGCGCATTGATGCCTTCGCGCGCATTGATGCCTTCGCACGCATTGATGCCTTCGCGCGCATTGATGCCCCTCGCGCGCATTGATGCCTTCGCGCGCATTGATGCCTTCGCGCGCATTGATGCCTCCGCGCGCATTGATGCCTTCGCGCGCATTGATGCCTTCGCGCGCATTGATACCTCGCGCACTGCTGTTGAAGCCATGGCGAAGCAACAGAAAGGTGGGGAAAGGGGAGGAGAAATGGTGGGGTCGAGGTGGGGTGGGGGAGAGGCCAGGCAGTGGGGTCGGGGAGAGGCCAGGCAGTGGGGTGGGGGGGAAGAGGAGGGGCCAGCAAGCAGCAAGATGAGTATGCTTGTGTGCTCTCTTTGAACCGCTCCTGAGATCTCTGAAATGTTGTTCACATACAGTGCCTTTTGATCATGCACCCTTGAGGCTTAGGCTCAGCTGTAGACCATCTGTGGCCATCTGTGGCCATCTGTGACCATCTGTGGCCATCTGTGGCCATCTGTGACCATCTGTGACCATCTGTGACCATCTGTGACCATCTGTGACCATCTGTGACCATCTGTGACCATCTGTGACCATCTGTGACCATCTGTGACCATCTGTGACCATCTGTGACCATCTGTGACCATCTGTGACCATCTGTGACCATCTGTGACCATCTGTGACCATCTGTGACCATCTGTGACCATCTGTGACCATCTGTGACCATCTGTGACCATCTGTGACCATCTGTGACCATCTGTGACCATCTGTGCCAATCTGTGACTATCTGTGACCATCTGTGACCATCTGTGACCATCTGTGACCATCTGTGACCATCCGTAACCATCTGTGCCCATCTGTGACCTGTGACCATCTGTGACCATCTGTGACCATCTGTGACCATCTGTGACCATCTGTGACCATCTGTGACCATCTGTGACCATCTGTGACCATCTGTGCCAATCTGTGACTATCTGTGACTATCTGTGACCATCTGTGACCATCTGTGACCATCTGTGACCATCCGTAACCATCTGTGCCCATCTGTGACCATCTGTGCCCATCTGTGCCCATCTGTGCCCATCTGTGACCATCTGTGACCATCTGTGACCATCTGTGACCATCTGTGACCATCTGTGACCATCTGTGACCATCTGTGACCATCTGTGCCCATCTTTGCTCCCACGTGCTCATTGACGTCAGGCCCCCTTGACTCAATGTCCCCCTCCCCTCTTTCGCATTTCTCACCCCATCCCATGGCAGGTCAGAGCATGCGGGTGCTCTCACCGGATCCATGTACATCGCTGGTGCTCTCACCGGATCCATGTACATCGCTCTCCACCGTGGCCGAGCCCTCCCATCCCACGTTCTCATTGACGTCAGACCCCCTTGACTCAACGTCCCCCTCCCCTCTCTCGCATTAACATGGCAGGTGCGAGCATGCTGGTGCCTCTAACCGGCTCCATGTACATCGCAGGCACTGTCGCTGAGCCCTCCCACGTGCTCATTGATGTCGGCGCCGGCTACTATATCGAGGTAACTGAGGTGACTATATCGAGGTCCCGAGGTGACTGTACTGATGTGAGAATATGGAGGTGGTCAAAGCTGTGCTGCATGACCATTCACAGCTCTCCTCTCTCCGCCCTTCATGTCCACTCCACTCACTCATAACACCGTCCTGCATTCTACTGTGTGCACTGGGACTTGCTGAATCACAATGTGCATGCTTGAATGGGGTGCATGGGCGTGTGCATGGGCGTGTGCATGGGCGCGTGCATGGGCGTGTGCATGGGCGTGTGCATGGGCGTGTGCATGGGCGTGTGCATGGGCGTGTGCATGGGCGTGTGCATGGGCGTGTGCATGGGCGTGTGCATGGGCGTGTGCATGGGCGTGTGCATGGGCGTGTGCATGGGCGTGTGCATGGGCGTGTGCATGGGCGTGTGCATGGGCGTGTGCATGGGCGTGTGCATGGGCGCGTGCATGTGGTGCATGCGGTGCATGTGGTGCATGTGATCCTACTGCTAAAAGGATCTCTATCTTGCTGCTCTTCCCCAATGAGTGAGGACCCGTGGGACCTCACATACGTGGCGCATGTGGTGCATGTGGCGCATGTGGTGCATGTGGTGCATGTGGTGCATATATGCTGGGGCTGGGCGGGGCGATAGCAGAAGTCAGTGGAGGAGGCGATGGGGTACTGCATGCGCAAGGCAGAGCTCCTTAGAGCCAACCACGACAAGTTCAGCGAGGTGCGCACCTTCCCTTCCCTTCCCTTCGCCCATGTATGCTCCACGCCCTCCCACCCTCGCTCGCCCATGCTCCATGCCTTTCACACCCCACCCCACTGCACTGCATGCGCTCAGAGCCAACCACGACAAGTTCAGCGAGGTGCGGCCCTCCCTCCCTCCTTTCCCCCCTCGCTCACTCCTCTCTCTCTCCCTTCCCTCTTCCCTCCAACCCTCCCTCCCTGCCTCCCTCTCTGCCTCCCTCCCTGCCTCCCTCCCTCTCTCCCTCCACCCCTCCCTTCCTGCCCCTCCCTGCCTCCCTCCCTGCCTCCCTCCCTGCCTCCCTCCCTGCCTCCCTCCCTGCCTCCCTCCCTGCCCCTCCCTGCCTCCAACTGGGCCACACAGGTGCAGAGGCAGCTACGAGAGGAGGTGACGATGGTGCTGCAGGCCAACCACACCCCACTGCACCGCACCACACCACACACTTCACCCCTCTCCATCCCACCCCACCCCTCTATGAACAGGTGGCACGCGTCAAGAGGCAGCTATTGGAGGAGGTGACGATGGTGCTGCACCCAAGCACACATAACCGCACCACATTTCACCACTCCACACCCCACCCCTCTATGAGCAGGTGGCGCGCGGCAAGAGGCAGATACTGGAGGAGGTGACGATGGTGCTGCAGGCGAAGGTGAGGGCAGCCGTGCAGCAGCAGGGCGGGGGAGCAGCAGGTGCTGCAGGGGGGGCAGCACAGGCAGGCAGGATACAGGCCGCTGCCTCGTGAGCTGTGTGCACAGACAGCTGCCTCGTGAGCTGTGTGCACACACAGGCCCTGGCTGCACGTCAAGGTGATGGCAGCCGTGTAGCAGCAGGGCGGGGGAGCATCAGGTGGTGCTGGAGCAGCAGGGCGGGGGAGCATCAGGTGGTGCTGGAGCAGCAGGGCGGGGGAGCATCAGGTGGTGCTGGAGCAGCAGGGCGGGGGAGCATCAGGTGGTGCTGGAGCAGCAGGGCGGGGGAGCATCAGGTGGTGCTGGAGCAGCAGGGCGGGGGAGCATCAGGTGGTGCTGGAGCAGCAGGGCGGGGGAGCATCAGGTGGTGCTGGAGCAGCAGGGCGGGGGAGCATCAGGTGGTGCTGGAGCAGCAGGGCGGGGGAGCATCAGGTGGTGCTGGAGCAGCAGGGCGGGGGAGCATCAGGTGGTGCTGGAGCAGCAGGGCGGGGGAGCATCAGGTGGTGCTGGAGCAGCAGGGCGGGGGAGCATCAGGTGGTGCTGGAGCAGCAGGGCGGGGGAGCATCAGGTGGTGCTGGAGCAGCAGGGCGGGGGAGCATCAGGTGGTGCTGGAGCAGCAGGGCGGGGGAGCATCAGGTGGTGCTGGAGCAGCAGGGCGGGGGAGCATCAGGTGGTGCTGGAGCAGCAGGGCGGGGGAGCATCAGGTGGTGCTGGAGCAGCAGGGCGGGGGAGCATCAGGTGGTGCTGGAGCAGCAGGGCGGGGGAGCATCAGGTGGTGCTGGAGCAGCAGGGCGGGGGAGCATCAGGTGGTGCTGGAGCAGCAGGGCGGGGGAGCATCAGGTGGTGCTGGAGCAGCAGGGCGGGGGAGCATCAGGTGGTGCTGGAGCAGCAGGGCGGGGGAGCATCAGGTGGTGCTGGAGCAGCAGGGCGGGGGAGCATCAGGTGGTGCTGGAGCAGCAGGGCGGGGGAGCATCAGGTGGTGCTGGAGCAGCAGGGCGGGGGAGCATCAGGTGGTGCTGGAGCAGCAGGGCGGGGGAGCATCAGGTGGTGCTGGAGCAGCAGGGCGGGGGAGCATCAGGTGGTGCTGGAGCAGCAGGGCGGGGGAGCATCAGGTGGTGCTGGAGCAGCAGGGCGGGGGAGCATCAGGTGGTGCTGGAGCAGCAGGGCGGGGGAGCATCAGGTGGTGCTGGAGCAGCAGGGCGGGGGAGCATCAGGTGGTGCTGGAGCAGCAGGGCGGGGGAGCATCAGGTGGTGCTGGAGCAGCAGGGCGGGGGAGCATCAGGTGGTGCTGGAGCAGCAGGGCGGGGGAGCATCAGGTGGTGCTGGAGCAGCAGGGCGGGGGAGCATCAGGTGGTGCTGGAGCAGCAGGGCGGGGGAGCATCAGGTGGTGCTGGAGCAGCAGGGCGGGGGAGCATCAGGTGGTGCTGGAGCAGCAGGGCGGGGGAGCATCAGGTGGTGCTGGAGCAGCAGGGCGGGGGAGCATCAGGTGGTGCTGGAGCAGCAGGGCGGGGGAGCATCAGGTGGTGCTGGAGCAGCAGGGCGGGGGAGCATCAGGTGGTGCTGGAGCAGCAGGGCGGGGGAGCATCAGGTGGTGCTGGAGCAGCAGGGCGGGGGAGCATCAGGTGGTGCTGGAGCAGCAGGGCGGGGGAGCATCAGGTGGTGCTGGAGCAGCAGGGCGGGGGAGCATCAGGTGGTGCTGGAGCAGCAGGGCGGGGGAGCATCAGGTGGTGCTGGAGCAGCAGGGCGGGGGAGCATCAGGTGGTGCTGGAGCAGCAGGGCGGGGGAGCATCAGGTGGTGCTGGAGCAGCAGGGCGGGGGAGCATCAGGTGGTGCTGGAGCAGCAGGGCGGGGGAGCATCAGGTGGTGCTGGAGCAGCAGGGCGGGGGAGCATCAGGTGGTGCTGGAGCAGCAGGGCGGGGGAGCATCAGGTGGTGCTGGAGCAGCAGGGCGGGGGAGCATCAGGTGGTGCTGGAGCAGCAGGGCGGGGGAGCATCAGGTGGTGCTGGAGCAGCAGGGCGGGGGAGCATCAGGTGGTGCTGGAGCAGCAGGGCGGGGGAGCATCAGGTGGTGCTGGAGCAGCAGGGCGGGGGAGCATCAGGTGGTGCTGGAGCAGCAGGGCGGGGGAGCATCAGGTGGTGCTGGAGCAGCAGGGCGGGGGAGCATCAGGTGGTGCTGGAGCAGCAGGGCGGGGGAGCATCAGGTGGTGCTGGAGCAGCAGGGCGGGGGAGCATCAGGTGGTGCTGGAGCAGCAGGGCGGGGGAGCATCAGGTGGTGCTGGAGCAGCAGGGCGGGGGAGCATCAGGTGGTGCTGGAGCAGCAGGGCGGGGGAGCATCAGGTGGTGCTGGAGCAGCAGGGCGGGGGAGCATCAGGTGGTGCTGGAGCAGCAGGGCGGGGGAGCATCAGGTGGTGCTGGAGCAGCAGGGCGGGGGAGCATCAGGTGGTGCTGGAGCAGCAGGGCGGGGGAGCATCAGGTGGTGCTGGAGCAGCAGGGCGGGGGAGCATGAGGTGGTGCTGGAGCAGCAGGGCGGGGGAGCATCAGGTGGTGCTGGAGCAGCAGGGCGGGGGAGCATGAGGTGGTGCTGGAGCAGCAGGGCGGGGGAGCATCAGGTGGTGCTGGAGCAGCAGGGCGGGGGAGCATCAGGTGGTGCTGGAGCAGCAGGGCGGGGGAGCATCAGGTGGTGCTGGAGCAGCAGGGCGGGGGAGCATCAGGTGGTGCTGGAGCAGCAGGGCGGGGGAGCATGAGGTGGTGCTGGAGCAGCAGGGCGGGGGAGCATGAGGTGGTGCTGGAGCAGCAGGGCGGGGGAGCATGAGGTGGTGCTGGAGCAGCAGGGCGGGGGAGCATGAGGTGGTGCTGGAGCAGCAGGGCGGGGGAGCATGAGGTGGTGCTGGAGCAGCAGGGCGGGGGAGCATGAGGTGGTGCTGGAGCAGCAGGGCGGGGGAGCATGAGGTGGTGCTGGAGCAGCAGGGCGGGGGAGCATGAGGTGGTGCTGGAGCAGCAGGGCGGGGGAGCATGAGGTGGTGCTGGAGCAGCAGGGCGGGGGAGCATGAGGTGGTGCTGGAGCAGCAGGGCGGGGGAGCATGAGGTGGTGCTGGAGCAGCAGGGCGGGGGAGCATGAGGTGGTGCTGGAGCAGCAGGGCGGGGGAGCATGAGGTGGTGCTGGAGCAGCAGGGCGGGGGAGCATCAGGTGGTGCTGGAGCAGCAGGGCGGGGGAGCATCAGGTGGTGCTGGAGCAGCAGGGCGGGGGAGCATCAGGTGGTGCTGGAGCAGCAGGGCGGGGGAGCATCAGGTGGTGCTGGAGCAGCAGGGCGGGGGAGCATCAGGTGGTGCTGGAGCAGCAGGGCGGGGGAGCATCAGGTGGTGCTGGAGCAGCAGGGGCAGCACAGGCTGGCTGGCAGAGTGCTGGAGCAGCAGGGGCAGCCTGGCTGGCAGAGTGCACCTCGTGACCTCTGTGTGTCCCTCCCTCGCCTTGCCTGCACTGCAAGCCTGCTGGCGATGCCTCTGCTTCATGCCTCTGCTTCATGCCTCTGCTTCATGCCTCTGCTTCATGCCTCTGCTTCATGCCTCTGCTTCATGCCTCTGCTTCATGCCTCTGCTTCATGCCTTGGATGGAACCATGTTACCTCCACTGCATTCAGTGTCACGTAGGTGTTGCTTTGGTATGCTAGTGCCTAGTCTCGTAGCACTGGCTCAGTTAGCATGGCACTGTGCCCATGACAGGGAAACCGCTAGTTGGGATAGCAATGCTCCGCGTGGCGCTGCGGTGGGACGTGCATCAGTCAGCTCAGTCAGCTGCTGTTCTTTACAGGCATCGATGATGAGTGCGCTCATAGAGCCTTTCCAATGCCGGAGAGCATGGCATGGCACTGCTTGCATTTTGAATAATAGACTCAACGGAGCTGAGTTGATTATTCTAAAGCTAGGAAGTACATGATGCATGGAGGAAAAATGTACATGCTGCTAAACAAGCTAAACAGAGTCATAGCCCTACATCTCAAAAAGCTCTGCAGATAATAGGATACACTGGTAAATAATCCCTGCTCTAAGGTGAGGCTCCAATATCATACAATCCTAGAATTAAATCAGCCAGTTCGTGATCTGCGCAGAGAGAGTGTGTTTGTACCGCATGATCAGGGCCGCAAACGACCCGGCCGGGCGGCATCACTCGCCTCCTGCACGTCAGGCAGGTCGGGCTTCCACATCCCGGCACCGACGTAATCCATGCTGTAAGGTACGGCACATTCCCTATGTAACGCACATAAATTTTAACTCAGCCAACTGGTAATTTGAGCAGATAGAGTCCGCTTGTGCCGTGTGATGGGCGCCGCAAACGACCCGGCATCGCTCGCCTCCTGCACATCGGGCAGGCCCGGCTTCCACATGACAGCGCGCCTCTCCTCCTTGCCTGCTGTAGCCGTGGACCAGTTGAACAGACACTCCCCGTTCAGCACCTCCACCCTCTGCCTGAACGCCGCCACCGCCGCCTGCCACTCCATGTCCTCGTCTGTTGCTACTGCTGTGCCCCCTGCTGCTGCCGCTGCTGCCCCTGCTGCTGCTGCTGCTGCTGCTACCCGGTGTGCTCTGTGCTCCCTGTGTGACCCTCTGTGCGGCCGTGCCCCGGGTGCGGCCCACCAGGCTGTCGTCCACGGCGCGCCTGGCCCCGGCAGGGTGGGAGGGGGCGTCCAAGGAGATGGCGTGCAGCAGCCGCCTCAGGGGGCTGCGGTCCTGGCCTCTGCCCTCGACTCTACTGCACTCACGGCCTCTACACTCACTGTCACTGGCGTGGTTGGGATTGTCGCCCTCACTGCCCTTGCCGTCCAGAGATATAGCGTGCAGCAGGCGCCTCAGCGGGCTGCGTTCTTGGCCTCTGCCCTCGCCACCACTGTCTTGCTTGGGCTTGTCACGTACCTTGCGCTTCGGCTCGCTGCGTGCCTCCTCCCTGCCCCGCCGCTGCTGCTGCTGCTGCTGCTGTTCCTGCTGCTGCTGCTGCTGCTGCTGTTCCTCCTGCGGCTGCTGCTGCTGCACTTGCTGCTGCTGCTGTCCCTGCTGCCCCTGCGTCGCCCACTCCCTCCCATCACCATCACACCACATCTCTGTGTCCATCTCTCCCCTTCCTTCCTCATCACTCACACAACGAGGGCTCACAGAACGAGGGCTCACAGAACGAGGGCTCACAGAACGAGGGCTCACAGAACGAGGGCTCATGGAGGCCCCGTGGTAACGCCCATGCGAGTCACCGTGAGGAGGAGAGCGGTGAGAGGGGACGGCAGCGTGCGGGGGAGAGTGCTGCGAGGGGATAGCGGAGGCAGCACAGCGGTGGGAAGGAGGGGGCGAGTGGGCGGGCCTGGTGAGAAAGAGCACGGGCGTGGGGGGGTGGAGCATGGGGGGTTGGAGCATGCGGGGGCGGGGATCAGGGTGCTGCAGGGCATGCTCTCCTTGGTCAACCGCCATGCGCGGGGGGCTGAAACTGCTCCCCCGGGGCACAGCACAGGGCGGCCGTGCCAGGCCAGGGCTGCGCTGCCCCTCCGCCCTCCCCCCCACGGGGCTCCGCCCTCTCTGCGGACTCCTCCCCCTCAAGGGGCTTCTCCCCCTTAAGGGGCTCCTCCCCCTCAGCGGACTCAGCTGCCTCATCCGCTCCACCAGTGCTTCCGCCCACCCCTGCTCGCCCTTATCCCCCGCCTTCCCCTCGTCCCGCATCCCTCCCCCCTCCTCCTCCCCCCTGCTCCTCCCCCTGTCCGCCTCCGCCATGCCCAGCACCCTCTGCGCGCCAATGAGAGCCTCTACCGCGTCAAGCGCCGCCGCTCCCCCCACGCCCTCCCCACTCGATTGCCTGCGCCCATGGCTGCGCGTCAGCGGGCTGCTCCCCGCCCCCGCCCCCTCGCCTGCCTGCGCCGCTGCGCCCTTCCGCCCCCCTACCTCCCCGCCCGCGGTCCTGGGCCTCAGCGCGCTGGCGCAGGGCGGCGCGGCCGCCTTGCTGCATGACGCGGGCAGCGCCCCGCGCAAGGGACTCGCGTGCGCGCTGCCATACGGCGTCGCGTGCGCGCTCCCCTGCGGAGTCACATGCGCGCTGCGCCATCGCCCGTCCCCCGCCTTCCTCACGTCCTCGTCTTCCCCCCACGCGTCCCCCGCCGCGAGCCCCGCCACAAGGCCCCCGATCTCATCTGGACTGCCGCTCAGGGATTTGCACGGGCGGTGCATGCCGCGCCGGGACCGCCGCAGCGCGGGCACCATCAGCCGCCCGGAGGAAGCCGCCAGCCCCGCGCGCTGTCCGTCCCCCGCGTGGCTCTCCCCCGTCCTCCCGTTCGGCGCCGTCCCGCCTGTCTCTCCCGCGCGCCGCTTACTCGCTCCGCCATCTGCGTGAGCAGGGGGGTGCAGGCCCGTGGCAAACGGCGCTGCAGCGGCGACGGCGGAGATGCGCGCGTGTGGCGGAGAGGCGTCAGGGGAAACGTCGGGGAGCGCGCTGGTGCTGTGATTGACGCGATGGTGGGGCTTCGCGAAAATAGTGACGCGCGGCGGGGACCGCGCGGGCACGTGCGCCAGTGGCGGAACAGCGGAGTGCGGATGCGCGGAGGGCGGAGATAAATTGCGCTGTAGAGGGGCAAGGAGAGGGGGAGAGCGGGCGGGAGCGGAGTTAAGCGAGAGTGTGGCGCACGCTCGTCTCGCATCGACTGAAAGCAAACGGCGGTGCGCATAGCGCGATGAAGCTAGCGTAAGATGCTGCCTCGCAATCCTCGATTTGTTAGCTTCCACTGCGTTTAGTTCAACACTCAATCAACATGGTTCTTTCCAGTACTCGATTATCATTTCACAGCCCGTAACAAGACTGGCGGCGCCCGCTCGTGCCCTCACCTCGTCCCTTTCGTTGGCGGAAGGTGTCCTGCGCAAATCCCGCGGAGGCTTCCGCCCCGCCGTTCCCCCATCATCCACATGCGCGGACTCGTCTCCGTTCGCGATTCCGCCCTTTGCTGATGCCTTTCGCACGAGGTGGTAACACCGCCCCGGTTTGAGGATCCGCCCGGGCGGCAGCGGCCCCTCGCGCTTGGCGAAAAGCGACGAGCTGCTGGCGTCGGCGGGTGAAAAGACCGCGTGGCTCGGGTAATAATAAAAACCCCCCCTTAAAACCACCCCATCATTCACATAATTCAGTAATACACATTGCATTGAGAATAAAATCATTGAAACAATTATACAGACTGACAGAATTTCGACAATCAAATACACTACAGTGTATCGCGCGGCTGTCGTCAGGCGCTTGCGATCTAACTGTTAGTCGCCTGTGTTCACGCTTAACGATACGGTAACCGGCGTCTCCGTCAGCTGTTCACGCTGGCGAAAAAATTTGCGAACTGGTTACCTTTCGCCAATTATCTATCTGGAAATAGATAAAACGGCCAAGCACCAGGTCCAGCTGGGTCGTAGTTTTTTATTTCGCCTCGGGCATTTTGGGGGTTTGGGTCGAGGTAGGTCGAGCGCCCGAGCCGCGCCCTTCCCCGTGGCCATCCACATCTATTTCGGGGAGTCAACAATGGGAGCCGCGCGATGCGAAGAACAGTAACACGCGTCTTTACCAAATTCTCGCAGCGGCTCGGGGTGGATATGGCTGATTGAAAATGGTTGACGACCACGGCGGGGTCAAAACGTCAAGTCAAATGTAACAATGCGTTGATTACACTACCGTAAAATCTAATGGTTTTGAATGACCGATTCTGTACATTCAGAGATCACCTAGAGATCCAAAGCCATCTCCACACAAAAACTAACCTCACTTCCAACATTTTAATTCTTTTGTTAACAATACACAGCCCTATCAATAATACCAACAGAACTTTGCTTGTGGTTGTCACGTTTCTGCCGGCCTGCGAAAACATGGAGGCCGGGAAGGGACTTGAATGAGACAGGGAAGAGAGGCAGAAATAATTTTGAACCAACCTAGCATAGAATGAAGGGCGGGTGGCTAAATCGAGGAAAGAGTGGCTGGGAAGGAGAAACTGGGGAAAGGGGTAACTTGACCCATTAGAATAGGAAGCAATTGGGGTGGGATGTGCTTGGTGCATGGTGGAGGTGCGGGCAACAGAACAGCGACCCGCATTCCAGAAGCAGCCAGGCTGGCAGAGGTTGGTGTGGCTGCCCTCATAAGCGTGTGGGGCGGCAGACTGCCACGTCAGCAACCGGCAGACGCCCCACCCGCGGCAATTCAGGGAGCCATTCAAAAGGGGTGGGTGTTAGTGTGACTGGGTGGGTGTGCAGTGCAGTGCATGCTCACACACCAGATGCCACTCACACACTACGCTATGGTGGTCTGCTTGTCCAGGCTGTATTGCTGCAGCAACCAATTGCACGGTGCATCACTAGCAGTCCCTCCCACCACAACACGTGCGTGCAGCTACACACACTGCAGCGCCCTCCACCTGTCAACCATGGTGATCCCGGGCACCTTGCCACAGCAGACGGCGCCTCCACCTGCTCCTTGCCACAGCAGACGGCGCCTCCACCTGCTCCTTGCCACAGCAGACGGCGCCTCCACCTGCTCCTTGCCACAGCAGACGGTGCCTCTACCTGCACACGCATGAACATTGGGGCAGGATGTTTGAACGGTGCCAAGGGTGCGGGTTTGGCATGCTGGTAGGAATGACAGCAGCATAGCCGCATGGAGTCCTGGCATCATGGCCATATGGCAGCATTGTGAGGGGCGCATGAAGGACAAAAGCGCATGCTTGAGACAAACCACATGGCTCGGCAGCAGCACAAGGGCAGCCACGGCCACTGCGGCCTGCTCAGAGCGACTTTCTCTCACACTCCATAAGCGCGTGAGGGCAGCATGTGAGGGGTGCATGGCAGCATGTGAGGGGTGCATAAACAACAGGAGCCCATGATTGAGGTCAACCACATGGCATGGCAGCACGAGGGCAGCCACGGCCACTGTGGCCCACTCAGAGCTCCCATCGCTCCCACCCGCCTGCAGGGCAGCGCTGTAGGCACCCTTCACTAAAAGCACAGCCAGTAGGTTGAGCTGCGCTTTGAAGACATAAGGCGCCATGTGCAATGATATGTACAACGAATGCGGACACGCAGCAGCAGGTGACAGTGCTAGTGCATTGTGTTCAGATACCCATGCGGCACATCCCCATGCGGCACATCCCCATGCGGCACATCCCCATGCCGCACATCCCCATGCCGCACATCCCCATGCGGCACATCCCCATGCCACACATCCCCATGCGGCACATCCCCATGCGGCACATCCCCATGCGGCACATCCCCATGCCGCACATCCCCATGCCGCACATCCCCATGCCGCACATCCCCATGCCGCACATCCCCATGCCGCACGTGTGCTGCAACAGACGGCAAAAGCATTGCTACTTACATGTGAGACGATGACGTCACGTCACGACAACACGGCCCCATCAGGCACGGCGGACGAGGACGGGGGACCGCACCACAGACAGGAGGCTCGGCAGCATGGCAGGCTCGGCAGCTTGACAGGCTCGGCAGCATGGCAGGCCCGGTGACGACCCTGCACGCAAAGAGGGGAACATGCCATCTGAGACGAATGAGGAATAGTGGCGCTCGCGCGTTCGCACGCAGATAAGAAACTATTAGGGTTTCCCAGATGGCAAATCGGAGATGTTCCCAAGGCAGCGATGGTGCGAGTCACTAAAACGACCCACATCTCTGGGCTGCTTTGAGGAATCAATCGAATCAAATCCTATCAAATAAAATTGGACCGATTGAGCCATTTGGGCATCCTGAACATAAGGCCTGGCAGGGAGACAACGCTGCTGCCACGCCTCGGAAAGAGTAATGCCCCGGGAACCACCATCACCAGCAGCACCACCACTGCCACCACCATCACCAGCAGCACCGCCATCACCACCGTGACCAGGGAGACAACGCTGCTGTCACGCCTCGGAAAGAGTAATGCCCGGTAACCACCACCACCATTGTCATCAACCCACCACCACTGCCACCGCCATCACTTCATCGTCACTATCACAACTATCACATCACCACCACCACTATCACCTCCGCCACCACCACCGGCAAGCCATCGAAACACAGCAAATCCACGTGGTGCAGATTGAGATAAATGACAATCGACAAATGGAGCGTGTGGAGCGGGGAGTGGGGAGAGGGGAGTGGGGAGAGGAGAGTGGGGAGTGGGGAGCGGGAGTGGGAGTGGGGAGCAGGGAATGGGAACGCAGCAAACTGCAGAAATGGAGCGCGAAACGGCCATCGATACAAGGACAGCAGCACGCACCTGCGTCGCTACCGACCGGAGCTCGACGGAGCGCTAGGACGAGGCGCCATGGATCAAATCAACGATGCGCGCCTTTCGAAGCGCCTCAAAGGGAGCGCCGGGGCGAGTGGAGGCGCGCAATGCGTGAAATCGGCGACGGGCGCAGAGATCAACGGCCCGGATCGAAGGGTGGGCTGCAGCCAGCAGAGCACCGACCGCGCGCGCCACCAGTCGGCTCCCACGTGGCTCCCGCGTGGACCCACGTGGATCCTACGCGGAAGAGACTCCCACGAGGCTCCTGTTCATGCGATCGATGATCTGAACCTTCCATGCTCCTGCGGGTTGCGCGTTGTAATGTTGCGCGGAGAAAGAAGCGAAAAAAGCAAATGGAATCAGCAAATGGCGAAGCGGCGAACTGTGAGGAGGCGCGGAAATCGTCGATGCATGAGGCGCAGAGGGAGCAGACGGCGCAAAGTGCGCAGTTTGCGCAGAGGGCGCAGAGGGCGGAAGGGGAAATGTCCGCTAGCCCCATGACCGCCGATCCCATTGGGGGGAACGCGGAAAAGGGAGGGGACGCGGAGGGACGATGTGGCGTCGGGTTACGGGGAGAGGGGCACCGGATAGGCCCCACTCCTGAAAAGTCGACGCGGGCAAGCCAAGGCTTGTAAGCGTGACGGGGAGACGTCCCAGACTTTCAGTTGAAGGAGAGGGTGACGGGGAGAGGGGCATCAAAAGGCCCCACTCCTGAAAAGTCGACGCGGGGAAGATAGACATTTGAAACACGTCAAGCGGTCAAGTGCGGGGAGAGGGTTACGAGGAACGTGCTGCACGGGGAAGGACGTGAGGAGAGGGGCACTGGTACGCCCCACTCCTGGAAAGTCGACGCGGACAAGCAAGACATCTGAAACTTCTTAAAACGGTTGGTTGCACGGAGAGGCATGCGAACAGAGCCGGAGGGATGCGGAGGGGGAAGGGGTGCAGAGAGGGGATTACGGGGAGAGAGGCAGGACTAAGAGGAGGGGGTGGAGGGCGGGAGGAGAGAGGAGAGTGGAGGGATGGGTTGGAGGGGATGAAGGCAATGCAGTGAGGGCGGTACCTGAGAGCTGCGAGGCACGCAGCAGATGCACACTGGCCACTGGCTGTGTGTCGGCCAGCAAGTTTCAGCCGGCAAGTGTCGGCCAACGAGTGTCCGCCGGCTAGTTTCGGCCGGCTAGTGTCGGCCGGGTGATAAGCTGAAAGGCGAGGGGCGGACGCAGGGCAGAGGAAGGGCGAGAGATGTGGGATTGCATGCAGTGCCGGGGACTGATCGACTCTCGGCAGAGGATGCGGCGAAAGGGTGAAGTGTGCCTCCCCCCAAGCAGGCCCCGCGCACGAGTTTCCGCCCGCGCCCCAGAAGAGGCGTGCGGCGGAAGCGGGGAGCGCGAGGGGGAGAGCGGCCATGCCGCGCGCGGAAGCACGCGACATGCGCGAGTGCGTCGGTATGCGCACGGTTCAAATCCACGCTGGCACCGATAAATGCATGCCGCGTGGAAGAACATCCATGCGCTGACGTGGCACTGCATGGTGCGAGCAGGGCGGCAGTGACCCTGCGCTGAGCACAGCATTCCACAATTCAATTCAGGCGCCTCAGATCGTACGTTTATCGCGACAATTGAGACTCGCCTAAGGACTCGCCTAAGGACTTGCTTTGTTTCTCATGGCCTCACCTGGTTCATTCAGCAGCGCCACGCAGCAGAGCGACGCGCGGAGATGAAAGCGCGGTCAAGGAAAAGCGCGCCACGAGAGCCTGCACTCGAAATTGACAGAGCGAGAGGGAAAGAGCGAACGAGATACGTCGGGTCACAATTTGCGCAGGCATGAGAATAAAGTATCTTAAGACATGAAATTGTGGCTCTGCGTGTGCTCTAGGGTTACTCAATTTGCAGTCTATTTTTGTTATGAGCACCTCCGCATTGAGGCTGGCGCGACGGGGAACCGACGCCCGGCGGGCGAGCTCGCGCGGCGGCGGCGATGCGGAGGCGGCCTCCGCATCGCCGCAACCGGGGCTCCGCCCGCCGCGCGTCGCTGCGCCAGCCCAAGCAGGGAGGCGGCGGGCGCTCTTCGCGCAACGATACGGCCGCCACCCAATCGAGCCGCGCCGACGTCGCACCCGAGGGTGCGGCACGGGCAGATGCGAGCGGCGGCACGAGAAATCGCTGCGCAAAAATTACTTCAAGTTTACCATTGTGCGGCAGGAAAATAGAACAGTGCTCGGAAAGAGTGCAGTGCGGCAGTCAACAGATCTTCGAATATCCACGGCAACAGCGAGCGAGCTTTAAAAAACCGCGGAATCGTCACAAATTATCGTAAGTCACCGCTCACGGAAGCGCACCTTGCAGTCATTGTCTTTATGACTGGGGACGCGGCAAATCACGTGGCTCCAATGGCTGCATGCAGCCGAGCGGATTCCCGCTGCACTGCAGCAGAAGATCGAGCGCAGACGTAAATCGCTGCGTGCGGAGCGGAGCAACACTGCGACTCCGTGGAAGGCCAATGACAAGGCATCGGAGCAACTTGTGAGACAGAAACGAAGTGAGCCGCAGGATTGATGCCAGGCGCAACTGGAGATTGGGCTGCTGCTGTGCAAGAAACATGGCTTGCCTCTGCTGCTTCAGCTGCTGCCAGCCTTGTTTCCAGCCAAGGAACAAGAACCGAGGACTCGAGCAGCCGAAAAAACAAATCCCAAGGCTCCTCGGTGGCTTGCCACCAGATTTGAAAGCGGTGTACAGAGAATTCAACTGTATAAGATTGGAATAACGAAAAGCGGAAACAAATGTCAATGGCTCTATGTACAAAGAACTATGAGACCTGAGCGTGTCCCTACAGCAAAAGAAAATATACAATTAGCGTGCAACCTACCATAACTGCTACAGCTTCTCAAATCCATCATGAATCACCTTCCCTTGTTCCGCTCATCCAAGCTCCAATCGCCCCCTCACCTTCTCCCTCCCCCCATCCCACTCCCCCCTCCCCTGTCCCCTTCCTCTCCCGAATCCCCTCCACCTGCCACGTCATGCAGCCCAGCACCGTCCCTGTTGGATCCGCTGATATCATCAGTGACATCATTGCTGGCATCAGCATCTGCAGGAGGGCCATCAGCAGCAGGGGGTGGGAGGGCAGCAGCAGCTGCTGAAACTGCAGAGTCCAAAGCAGTAAGAGCTGGGGAGAAGGGGCGAGGCGTATAGGAAAGGGGCGGGAGCGGGGTGGGTGGAAAGGGAGAGGAATAGGGGTGAGGGATTGACAGGCAGACACAGGAGCAAGGGGAACAGGAGTAAGGGGAACAGGAGTAAGGGAAAGAGCAGCGGGGAAGACGAGGGCGGAAACAGGTGAGGCAATCAGGGGCTGCCAGTGACGAACAGGTGAGGCAAGCAGGGGCTGCCAGTGACGAACAGGTGAGGCAAGCAGGGGCTGCCAGTGATGGTGCATCTTCAAGCAGTGCCAAGAGTCGTCACCACAACCAAACGCCGGGAAAGCAAGTCGTCCTTGTCTCTCTGCCAGAGTGACACCTGACACGACACCCAGCCGCTTGCATCACCACGTCTCTGTCTACCCCGTCATAATCACAGGAGCAGCCCATGTCCGGTGCCTCAGACCTGCGCCAGCACATACTGTCCTTGAAACAGACTGGGAATTATACCGTCGGGCCGAGCGCTTGCTAGAGCGATATCGGCCTCAGTGATTCCTGCCCATTGCCCAAATACTGCCTGCCCCAGAGATACCCGCCCAGGTTGTACCTGCCCTGGTTGCAGACTGGGCCATGCGTGCTGCAGCAGAGAGCTCCTCCTGGTGAGCGTGGAACCAGGACGCCTAAGGGAGAAAGGAGGGGGAGAAGAGGAGGACGAGGGGGAAGTGACGGCGCGAGAGGTGTATGAGATGGGATGAGATGAGGTGCGGCAGGGAGCTTTTGAGATGTCTCAAAAGGGGCGTTTTTGAGAAGCTGGATGCCTAGGGGACGTTTTTACTTTTGAGTCGACACAAGTCAACTCGAGGTGTATGAGATGAGATGAGGTGCGGCAGAGAGCTGCTACCGGTGGGCGTGGGAGCTGGATGCCTAGGAGGACGGGGTGGGGGTGGAGATGGGGGAAGGGAAGAAGGGGGAGCGGGATAGATTGAGGTGAAGGATACGAACAGGTGAAGGATGCGCACAGGTGAAGGATGAGCACAGGTGAAGGATGCGCACAGGTGGTGCCCTATGGGACGCGGAAGGTGAGATGTGCTTCGCGCGCGCGCACACACACTGAGATGATTTTTGAGGCGCCTCAAAAATCACCTCAATGCACGTGGTGAGATATGCTTCGCGCGCGAACACAAACACACCTACACAGAGCGACAAGAATCCCTGCAAGCATATGCATCACACTGATAGCATCAACTACTATCAGCATAGCTAGCAAGAGCATATAGCAGTTAATTTCGCTGTAGCTTGGCAAGCAGACAGACACACCATGCAGCGACTTTTGAGTCGACTCAAAAGTTAGCTTGGCAAGCAGATAGACACACCATGCAGCGATGCATGTTCACGTGTGCAGCAGACGTGGCATGGAGGGCTTACAGAGAGTCCAATACATCAATAGCCTATAGCCTAGCAATACATACCATGAAGGCAGCGATCGATGCACCCAGTGATGGATGCACCCAGTGATCGATGCTCATTCCAGCATGTCAAAGGATAACCACGTGATAATAGTGTAGTTTTGAAAGTCATGCAAGGCAAAGGTCAAAAATAGACATACCATGCAGCGGTCGATGCTAACAAGCGCCCCATCAATGTGCCGCCGGTACCGCAGCAGCACGGGCCTCAGGTGACTAGCGTACAGCCGCCCTGCACCCTGCGGTGTTGTGCGGTGCAGAGGGATTTGGGGGTACGGTCGGATGGTTAACAACGGTACGGTATGGTGGCATAGTGGCATGGTGTCGCATGGCGGGATGCGAGTCACATGGGGAGAAGAGCAATTCAAGCTAGTGGGTACATGGACGAGATGAAGCAGCTGTGAAGTGACAAGCCAAGAGGAGCCAAGAGGAGCCAAGAGATCATGTAACCCACTAAACCTTAAACCCTAAACCCTAAACCCTGAACCCATGTAACCTGCTAAAATTACTTATGCATTCCTCTCTTTCCTCTCCTCTCGCCATCTTCCTTGACAAACCAAGAGGCAAGGAAGTGAGAACGCAGAGACGAGAGATGGGCAGGGGAGAGGGAAGAGAGGAGAGGTGCATTGCGATCAATACAAGGACGGATCAGATGAGAGGAGTCGTACCGTGGCAGGGCGGGAGGAGGAGGTGGAGGGCAGCTGCAACCAGAGCAAGAGGAGCAGCTTCAAGTGCTGATAAAAGGGTAGCCTGGTGGGGAGGGAGAGTGGGATGGGAAGAGGAAAAAGTAAGCTGGTGCCACTGCAGCTGCAACCAGAGCAAGAGGAGCAGCTTCGGGCACTGGATGCTTGTATCGGCGTAAGGAGCAGTGCTGACGAGGAGAGAAAAAGAAGGGCAGGGGGAGGAGGGGAGGGGGAGGAGGGGCGGGGGAGGTGGGGGTGGAACGGGGGGTGCGAGAGTGGTGGAGTATCGAATTGCACTTAGTGATTAGACTTAGAATGAGGCAGGAAGAAGTGGGGGAGGAGAAAGAGATAGGTGGGTGATAAAGGGGGGTGTTGAGAAGAGAAAAGGACAAGAGGCGAGGGGAATGAAGAGGTAGATCGAGGCGTGGAAGAGGTAAATCGAGGTATGGCCGTATCACTCACCACGATATGATCCTGTCGGTGATTGTCTCCACTACCCGAAAGCAACCGTACACTGCCATGCATGTCATCCACGCCATCATGCCATCCATGCCATCATGCCATCCACGCCATCATGCCATCCATGCCATCATGCCATCCACGCCATCATGCCATCCATGCCATCATGCCATCCACGCCATCATGCCATCCACGCCATGCATGCCATCCACGCCATGCATGCCATCCACGCCATCCACGCCATCATGCCATCCACGCCATCATGCCATCCACGCCATCATGCCATCCATGCCATCATGCCATCATGCCATCATGCCATCCACGCCATCATGCCATCCACGCCATCATGCCATCCACGCCATCATGCCATCCATGCCATCATGCCATCCATGCAATATCAGGATACGCCGAATTATGGCACGTCAGGTTATGTGATGGCATGATGGCATGACGGCATGCGATGCCATGCGATGCCATGCGATGCCATGTGATGCCATGTGATGCCATGTGATGCCATGTGATGCCATGTGATGCCATGTGATGCCGTTGCACAAAACAAAGGCTAGTATGATGGGACAAAGCAATGATATGGCATATATGCACATGCGACTGCATGAAAGGACAAGATGAGGTGACACTAACCAGCGCTAGTACTCACCCCACCATCCTCACCACTCACCACTCCAACCCCACCACTCACCCCACCATCCCCACCACTCACCCGACCAGTAAGCAAGGCATCTATTCCGATCCGCCTGAGAGCCTTCCTCAATGGCTTTAAACGAGCGGAAGACTGGAAAGCCCACGCCCACCACTAGACTGATAGTGGATGGACAGGGAGGGAAACAGTGGAGAAACGCAGTGAGGGAAACAGTGGAGAAACACAGCGAGGGAAACAGTAGAGAAACGCAGTGAGGGAAACAGTGGAGAAACGCAGTGAGGGAAACAGCGGAGAAACGCAGTGAGGGAAACAGCGGAGAAACGCAGTGAGGGAAACAGCGGAGAAACGCAGTGAGGGAAACAGTGGAGAAACGCAGCGAGGGAAACAGAGGAGAAACGCAGCGAGGGAAACAGTGGAGAAACGCAGTGAGGGAAACAGTAGAGAAACGCAGTGAGGGAAACAGTAGAGAAACGCAGTGAGGGAAACAGTGGAGAAACGCAGTGAGGGAAACAGAGGAGAAACGCAGCGAGGGAAACAGTAGAGAAACGCAGTGAGGGAAACAGTAGAGAAACGCAGTGAGGGAAACAGTGGAGAAACGCAGTGAAGGAAACAGTGGAGAAACGCAGCGAGGGAAACAGAGGAGAAACGCAGCGAGGGAAACAGTAGAGAAACGCAGTGAGGGAAACAGTAGAGAAACGCAGTGAGGGAAACAGTAGAGAAACGCAGTGAGGGAAACAGTGGAGAAACGCAGTGAGGGAAACAGTGGAGAAACGCAGTGAGGGAAACAGTGGAGAAACGCAGTGAGGGAAACAGTAGAGAAACGCAGTGAGGGAAACAGTAGAGAAACGCAGTGAGGGAAACAGTGGAGAAACGCAGTGAGGGAAACAGTGGAGAAACGCAGCGAGGGAAACAGTGGAGAAACGCAGCGAGGGAAACAGTGGAGAAACGCAGTGAGGGAAACAGTGGAGAAACGCAGCGAGGGAAACAGAGGAGAAACGCAGCGAGGGAAACAGTAGAGAAACGCAGCGAGGGAAACAGTAGAGAAACGCAGTGAGGGAAACAGTGGAGAAACGCAGCGAGGGAAACAGAGGAGAAACGCAGAGAGGGAAACAGTAGAGAAACGCAGTGAGGGAAACAGTAGAGAAACGCAGTGAGGGAAACAGTGGAGAAACGCAGTGAGGGAAACAGTGGAGAAACGCAGTGAGGGAAACAGTGGAGAAACGCAGTGAGGGAAACAGTAGAGAAACGCAGTGAGGGAAACAGTGGAGAAACGCAGTGAGGGAAGCAGTGGAGAAACGCAGTGAGGGAAACAGTGGAGAAACGCAGTGAGGGAAACAGTGGAGAAACGCAGTGAGGGAAACAGTGGAGAAACGCAGTGAGGGAAACAGTGGAGACACGCAGTGAGGGAAACAGTGGACGCAGTGAGGGAAACAGTGGAGAAACGCAGTGAGGGAAACAGTGGAGAAACGCAGTGAGGGAAACAGTGGAGAAACGCAGCGAGGGAAACAGCGGGAGCAAGAATGGTTGGACGAGAGGGGTACCGAAAAAAAAAAAAAAAAAAAAAAAATCGGAGGCCAAAAGCAGGGAGAATGAGGAAAAATCGGAGGCCAAAAGCAGTGTGGCGGGATGATGCGTGACAGCAAAAGGAGGAGATATTGAAGAAGGCGGATTGAAAGGAGGAGAAGTGGAAGGAAGACCAGCGAGGAAGAGGGCGGAGGAAGAGTGCTGAGGAAGAGTGCTGAGGAAGAGTGCTGAGGAAGAGTGCTGAGGAAGAGTGCTGAGGAAGAGTGCTGAGGAAATTCGTACTTGGCAGCTCGGATGACAATGGATGATGAACTGGCCGCCAGGAGAATTTGTAGTCCCACCTGAGGGGGAAGGGGACGGGACGGGAGGAGAGATGACGGTAGAAATGCGGATGGTAGGCACGGCACTGAGGGGGCGAGCATTGTACTTGGCGGCTCGGATGACAATGGATGATGAACTGGCTCGGAGGGGTCAGAATGGGGGGAGAGAGGATGGGAAGAGAGAGAATGGGAGCAGAGGAGCATGGGTGGGGGCGAGAGAAGCGAGCAGGGTTGAGGACGGGAAGAGAGGAGCAGGTGGGGACAGGAGGGAGCGAAATCCCTCGTGGTAGGAAGGGGGAGGGTAGGAGAGAATTCCCTCGTGTCCTCAAGGGGAAATCCCTGACGGCCTGGCCGAACGAGGCGAGGCGAGAGACAGAGGGAGGAGGGTAGGAGAGGCGGAGGAGTGAGCTACGCAGGAAGAGAACTCATGGCCCTACCCATACATGTTTGTCACTCCCCCTGCGCCCTACTTCTGCAACGCTTTTGAGAATTCTCAAAAGTCACCCCCCTGCGCCGTACTCCTGCAACTTACCCCTCCTCCTTGCAGCGGTACACCCAAGCTGAACAGAGCCATCGGCGCGCTGCCTTAGGGACCGTTGCTGCTGGCGTCACACTACCCCCCACACCCGACAACCCGCACCCTACCCCCTCACCCTACCCCTTCGTCAAATCCCTCCTCCTTGCAGCGGTACACCCGAGCTGAACAGAGCCATCTCCCCGTCTTACCAACATCTCCCCCACTTTCCCCTCCCTCTACCCGTACGTCTTACCCCTCCTCCCTGCAGCGGTACACCCGAGCTGAACAGAGCCATCGGCGCGCTGCTGGCGTCTGGGAGTATCGCTGCTGGCGTCTGGGAGTATCGCTGCTGGCGTCTGGGAGTGTCGCTGCTGGCGTCTGGGAGTGTCGCTGCTGGCGTCTGGGAGTATCGCTGCTGGCGTCTGGGAGTGTCGCTGCTGGCGTGCTGGCACCAGGGGCTGCAGCTGCTGGCCTTACGTGGTGTCGCCGCGACAGGGCCTGCTGCTGGCGACAGGGCCTGCTGCTGGCGACAGGGACTGCTGCTGGCGACAGGGACTGCTGCTGGCGACAGGGACTGCTGTTGCTGCTGTGAACAGGTGTCGCAGTGAGCGTCAGGAACTGATGCTTCTGGCGTCCGAGAGCGTCACTGCTAGCGTTAGGCAGTGCTGCTGCTGGCGTCGGAGGTCACGGCCGCGCGCTCGCACGTTTTCTCCGCGCAACGGATGCCCGCGCAAGCAGCTTAAAGCGAGCCAAGAAGCAGATTGTATAACGATAAGAATGGTCAGCAACGTCCGTAACAACGACGGCTCAGATAGGAGCGCTTAGCCCACGTTGTTGGTGGCTGACGCGGTTACCAGACGCGCGAGCTTCGTGAAGTCTAAACTCGCTAACCTCATCTTACGAACAAATGAAGCACGTGGATGGCGGATTGTTCACGGAGGAACCGAGAGAGAGCCTCAAAGTAGCGCCATGCACAGGACCACAAGCTATGGTGGAGCCTCGGGAACTGGGACTACGCGTGATTTGGAATTCTGCATACGCGCTATAAGCATCGCTAGTGCGGAAAGTGGAGCCCTCGGAAAAGCATCTTGTAGGAGTACTTGGAGATTAGATAATTGTTGTTTTGTTGCATTGGCTATCTTAGAAAAGAAGCACATTAGTACAAGGGCCTACATATTCTAATTCAGGAAGTCCATGCATGCATTATTATCCAGCGTCTATGCTTAATTTATTCGGGCATTTATTTTGAGCATTTAGAAGCTGGCTGGGACCACAACAAACATTCAGCAACAACCACCTCCCAACACAGCTCTATGTTACGCCTTATTCTTCAGCATTCACAATCTCCCAAGTTCCAAGCTCTTTTCTTATCTCCAGTGCATGCTGAGAAGCTCATTCTGCCGCCACATTCTCTGGCAGCTTCCTCTCCTCACATGGTGGACCTCCCAAACACTTCACACACCTATCATCCCTCCAGCCTCCTCCCCCTTCCCCCCCTCAGACCTTCCTTCTCTCGCCCTGCCAGCCCTTTACATCCTCACATCAATCCACCCACCGCCTCCACTCATCTAACTCTCCCTCCTCTCACCCCCCCCGCTACCCCCGCTCTCCCACGCCCGTCCTGCAGCCACAGAAGCCCCAGCATCATTTCGTTCCACGAGTCCGGCACCCCTGGCAAGCAGTAGTGCCCGCAGTCAATGTTACCCCCGCCAGAATACCCCCCGGGATGCCCGTCCCACCGCATTAACGACATCCCGAAAATGTCCAGAAGCATCAGCGGCGCGCCGTGCCCGCGCTTCGCCCGACGCGCCTCGTACCGCCGCGCCACGTCAGCGAGAAGGACGTTGTATTTCGCCTCGGGATAATCCTTCGAGCGCGCGGCCTCCGCGCTAACCGGCTGCGTGGCGGAACAGCTGCCGTGAAACCCGTGCGTGGGCGGCACGAGCGTCAAAACTACCTGCTTGCCGGTACTGCTGACGTCTTCGAACGGACGCAGGACAGAGAAAAGCGCGGTTTGGTAAGCGTCAAATAGCGGCAAGTCGGTGTTCGGGCTCGCGAAGTGGATGTTCTTGCCTTGGATGCGCACCGATGACCACCACTGCCCCGCGCTTATAACGAATATGTCGTGTTCGTTATAGTGCCGGAACCACCAGTCGTCGGGATTCTCTAGGTCGAGCTCGCCGCCCGTGTTGAACACGTGCTGGTCGATCAGGGTGAGGTTCACGAGAAAGTGGCTCCAGTAGAACGCCACCGTGGCGTTACAACTCGGCCAGTGGTACACTTGCGCGTACGGATGGCTGCCCAGGACCTCGGGTTCGCCTTGCGTACCGAACATGATACACGCGAGCGAGTTGAAATGGTTGCGTACGATCGAATCCCCAATGTACGCGACGTTCCTGTTTCGCATCAGCTCGCACGCGCTCTTCGTCGTCAGCTGCGGCATCGCGTCGCAGCCGCCGCCTGCCGCCGTCGTACCGTCGTCACCCGTCGAATTGTCGCGTGTCGGTCGCCACCGCAACTTCTGGTACCCTTTATCGGGCCGCCCGTGCGCGTCGCACTGCGTCGCAGCGTGAATAAACGGACATTCAAGACTGGAATACAGCGGTCGGTTCGCATCCGCCTCCCACATTCCGTCGCTGATGTCGCACGTCGTCGAAACGTCGCCAGCCCCCGCCGCTGCGCCAGCCGCATTGTCGCTAGCCTCCGCGGCGAGAGCGGAAACATCGAGGGGGCGGGCAGCGGGCGACGCGAGGGACTCGAGCGAGCTGGCGGAAGCGGAAACCGGGGAATTGCGAGCCGTTGCGACAGGATTTGAAGAACCGCGATCATTGGCGACAGCGCTGCGACTGACGGCGACTGCGTTGCGACCTTCAGCGTGCATGCCGTCGTCAACGTAAATCTCGACCGCGCCAATGGCGGATTCCGGTTGCTCGATAATGATAGTGCCCGATAGGAGGGTCTCCTGCTCCCGCACGCCCAGCTCGTGCAAGCCTCTGCTGCGCATCGGCGCGGCGCGACGTGGATCCGCGGGCCGCGGTGTCGGCATATTTCCTAGTTTTCTGCCACGGGGGTTGTCGGTAGCTGGTCGAGAAATCGTGAAACTGGCAGCGTGTGCTTGTAAGGCGAGCGCGATGACGACGAAGAGAGTTGCGATTGGCGCGTGCCGTGTTGCATGGTATGGAGCACGATGCGGTCTGATTGCGGTCATTGTGACGGTGCCGTTCTGCTTTCTAGTAGTAGCAGGAGTGACAGGTTACCCGGAATAAGCTACCGAAGAGGAACAAGCTACGAATAGCGCAGTACGTAAAGTTAATATATCAAGCTCTTGGAGATGACCTGCAATTTCGGATAAAGAGTCGGGAGGAGCTCTGAACACGAAGATGCTGTTGCTGGGATGGAAGGTGTTTGTTTGGTCGCTGAAGTGAAATGAAGATGGAATGGGGTAGGGTGAATGGAGGAAACCAAACCAAATGCGAGGTGAAATGAAGTAGCTCCATACTCCGATTTTCCCTCGGTGGTGCGACATTGGGCTACAATTTCCCCCAAACAGCTGGTGGTGCTCGCGAGAGCGGCGACAATGAGCGAAACTTTCACGCGAGAAACCTTGATTGGTCAGATGAAGTGGCCACCAAGCATAGGGAGGGGATTCTGGATCCGTTACCAGCTGTCGATGAGGCAAGTGCCAATCTTGTTTTCGCCAATGACCACATCGAATCGCCACGTGGGGGGAGGACTGTGGGGAGGCGAAATTTGCAATTGAGAGTGGTGGCGAATTACCTGAGCTTCCGTGCAGTACAGCTGGGCATGTGGGGAAAGTGTGGCAGCGAGGCGCATGAGAAAAAATTGGTCAGTCTCGCAGGGTGAATCATCCGCAAGTATAACGTCGTTATACGCTTCCTCGTTAAATTTGACTAGCGAAATTGTTAACGGGCTGCTAATTGTTGAGCTTACTTTCACTCACAACTACGCCCCTATACCATCTCACAGGCATACAACATGCTCTTTTGCGGACTTCACTTTTTTTAATGAACTATTAATGCACTTATATTGCATTGTTTTGTCAGCAGTTATGGTCACAGGATACGGTATTCTAAACTAAGTGTACAGGGCAACCAAGCAGTTCCCTTTCCATATGGTGTTGACATTATGGCAAGTTACCTAACCTGCTACCTTCACATGATTCCTGATAATTTGCTAGCTGCACCCACAACAAAGGCCTAACAGGCATTACAAATCTGAGCATAAGATACATATCTAACCATTCCCTCGTCCTTCCCTTCCACCCTTTCCACTCTCCTCTACCCTCCTCCCTGTATTACCGTTACCTACTACCGTACCACCTACCCCTTTAGCACGGTAGACAGCAGACCGATCTTACTGCAAACAATCACCAAATATTCAGCCGACTGAGTGCTTCTGACATGGCAAGGCGTTTGCATCACTTCCATCTTGTTGGAAACAATAAAACTTAAGCGCTTCAGTCGTGTCGAAAACACCGCATCAGAAGCGAGGCAAACTACACCGAAGCACCCGCGAGTCAACCCTCGGGGGTTGAAGAGGTTGCTGGAGGTTACGCGAAAGTCAAAGGTCAGCGATCTTTGACCCGACAAGTACAGCGCGACAGTTAAGGACATACAACTGACTCGTTACAGAGCAGTTGCCCGAGTCGTACTGTATCGAACCGCAACAGCAACAGCAAAAGCAGTTATAACTGTATCCCTTGATATCTCCCACATTATTATATATTCTTGTACTCTCTTGTTATAATTAATCTACTTTGCCCTCACATACTAGCGCAAGGTTGGTCACAATTTCTTCACTGAAAGCTTCCGCTATTACAATTGTCCTATCCAGAGTTCTCCCCTGAAAAGATCCTAAGGGGCTATCTCAGCCCAACATGGTATGAGAGCAGTCAGGGGAAATTCTACCTCTTCCAAATCAAAGACATTACAAGACATGGCAACAAACAAGGAGAGGAGCTCTTCTAATGGCTCCCCGGGCACTACTCCTACACCACCTCCTGCCTCTGGCCTGCAGACAGAGGAAGGCACGGCAACAAGACCTAGGGGAACGTCCACCGAGACTCTCACAAATCGCCCCACGGTCTTCGACCAGAGCATGATGGAGAAGTTCTTCTCCTTCATGTCCTTCTACGAGCAGCACCAGCAGTCGGGACCTGCACAGACACACAACAGCAACAACGGAGTGACGCCCATGAGCCTTGATGGGTCGTCATACGCGCGCGGAAATCAACAGCAGCAACCTACCTTCGCCCCGTACGAACGCGGGTCAATCAGCTTCATGCCGCAGTCTTCGCCTGCACAAGACAAATCACTGGACGCGTTACAAGTACAGTCGCAGTTCGCACACGTTTTGAAGCTTCAAACGTCAAGACCATTCGACGGAAAGGACTTCTTCACCTGGTCCTTTGAGTTCGAGTTGATGATGGAGGGCGCGCAGATACTTGGCTTCTTCGACGGGTCCCTGCAATACCCAGCAAACGGCACACAGTATGAGAAGCAGCAGTACACGTATCAATCGATGATGGCGTATACGATCCTACTGAGGAACGTAACACCAACTCAACAGCAGAACATTCGCTCTTACCGGGCCTTCGGCAACTCGGCGGAACTCGCGTACAACCATCTGAAGAACCTGTACCAAGCAACAGACAGTGTAAATCAGAGCAGGTTAATGGCGCAGCTGACAACAGTTGAGATGAAACCAGGAGAGAAAGGAATGGCATATATCAGTCGATGTCGCGAACTGCGCGACAAGCTTCTTCGATGTGGAGGATCAATCTCTGAGGACGCCTTCGTGACGGTCATCATCGGCGGCCTTGGTCCTCAGTGGCGCGCAACAAAGGCCATACTCCGAGCCCACGGACGAATCTCTGAGGCAGCACTCTGCGCCGAAATCCACGCCGAACAGCAGGACATGGATCTGCAAGAAGAACGACACAGGAAGAAGACAACAGCATCAGAGTTCGCATTTCACACCCAACGACAACACAACAACTACAGCAACAGACAACAACGACCGAAGCCAGTACCTCCCTTCTGTCACATCTGCAAGACTTCAGGGCACCCGCGCACGCACTGCCCGAATCGTCAACAGTCAACGACCCCGCAACGACACCTTCGACCTTCAAGCAGTCAAATTGCGTCAACGCAAGCGAATCCAACGACCCAGATCCAAGCTTCAACGACCTCAACGGGACAACCTGCGCAAGGAGCAAGAAACATCGTTAGCTGCATGGCAAGACTGAGTGACTCTTGCGTCATGGATTCACCACCTCATTACTCACCGGAAGAACAACTCGACAACACCACACCTCGTCGCGAAGCACTTCAACCAAATCCGACATACGCTGCCATCGCCCAAAACGAGCCATCCGGAAAAGACACGTGGTTCTTGGACAGTTGCTGCGGACAACACATGTGTTCTTCGGGACGCTTCGTGCAGAGAGAGTATCAGCTTCAACGAGAGGTCGTCATCACCGTCGCCAATAATCAAAGCCTGCGCACACGACGACAAGGAATTGTACAACTTCAGTCACGGGAGACAAACGTCATTCTGCAAATGTCCAAGGTTTTAATTGCAGAAGGCCTCGGATACAACCTTCTCAGTGTGAGTCAGTTGATGGCGAAAGGCATCCACCTCGAAGCAGACAGCACTACCCAAGAATTCAAGTTGTACCACGGGAGAGGAGGTCTTTACATCGGGAAGGCAGTCCTTAAAAACAATGTCTTCGTCTTGGACTTCGTTCCTGATCTCGGCACCGCTGACAGTGACGCCATAGTCAACTTTACCAACTGGACACACCCTCCGGATCTTGACCCCGACTTCAGTCCAGGCGGCTTCTGGTACTCACACACCGTCCCTGAGACAGAACGAACAAGGGCATTAGCGACAATTCAACAATCGGCAGCAGCAGAGACAACGTCGGCAGCAGCAGAGACAACGTCGGCAGCAGTAGAAACATCATCGGCAGCAACAGCGACAACGACGACACCAGTCGCCGGTCCTTCAACGACGGCGTTCCTCAACGACGATGCACCACCAACACCTGCACAACAGCTCCAGCCAGCACCACGAGAATTTCATCACAGTCCCAGCTTCACCGCTGGTCTCTTCTCCAACTCCGACATGTATCGGCGCTCACCCGGTCATCGCGCCAACGAAGAAATCTGGCACGCAAGAATGGGACACCCAAGCAACACTGTGTTAAACAACACGATTCGAGCAGGAGTACTCGACAAGGACTCTTTACTTTTAACAGACGGACGAGAACTTCAACGAGCACGAGGGACATGCTTCACCTGTCCTGAAGCTGACTTACCGCATCAACCCTTCGTCTCGCATCACAATCCAAGCGCACCCGCATATGCACCACTCGAGAAAGTGTACAGCGACATCCTGTACAACCGCGAACCCGGACAAAACGCGTATAACTACACCATCACCTTCATCGACGCCGCTACACGTTACGTCTGGCACCTAAACTTACCAAGTCGCGACATGGCTTTCGAGGCTTTCGTGGCATGGCTTCCAGCAGCAGAACGGGAATCGGGAGCTAAACTCAAAAGTTTTCAATCAGACGGAGGAGGAGAATACTCGTCACAACGATTCAAGCAGTACCTGGCGGAGAAGGGAATCAAGAGACTCATCTCCCTTCCCTACGCCCATCAACAGCAGGGTGTAGCAGAAAGGATGAACAGGACTCTGCAGAACACCATGCGCAAACTGTTACGTGGCATGCGGCTACCCAACCACCAGTGGCCCGAAGCAATGGACCACGCCGTGATGCTGCACAATTTGCTTTCTTCGTCGTCACTCCCGAACAACACATCACCGCATCTGCTGTGGACAGGGAAACTGGGCAGCACAAAAATGTTACGAGTCTTCGGCTGCATGGTACAGTACCGACCCCCATCTGCACGAGCCGGCCGATTCTCCCAACGCGCACAGTGGGGACTACACCTGGGCATCGAAAAACATTACAACGCATGGAAGATCTTCGATATCAACAGCAAGGAAACAGTAGCAGCACGTGATGTGATCTTCTACGAGCGGCTCACACTGCCAACATACCTTGCCAACCTGGACGAAAATCGAGACCCCACAGGTGGCTTCCGTGGCGATCGAGCCTTCGCTTCGGCAGAAGACGAAGCTGACTGGGACGAGCAGAACGTGGAAGGAGCCTCGGAAGAAGCCGGACCTCTTCCCTACTGCTCAGTGGACGTACCGATGGACAAAGATAACCCTCGCGAAAGCGTCAACGCCGAAACCTACTACCACTTCGCCGACAACGGTTACGTTACACCTGCTGAAGTCAACACCAACGAAGCAGAACGCATAGGGCCCAACTTCGCACCTGATCCAGAAGCTGGAGACGAGGCAGTCTATCCCGAGGACACCACACTTCCCCGCTACACACAGAGCGGACTCCAAATCCTTGGGCTCGTCACCGCAGTCCATGGCGCTGACATCCCTAAGGAGCCTGCAACGGTTCAGCAGGCTCTGGGGGGGGAGCATAAAGAAAAATGGCGCGAAGCCATGGACAAGGAACTGAAGGCATTAGAGGAGCGCAACACCTGGAAAGTCGTTCCCATCGGCGTAGCGCGAAACAAGACCATTCTTATTGGGAAATGGGTCTTCCGTGTGAAGACCAAGGCCGACGGCACCGTCGACAAGTTCAAAGCACGTTGGGTCGTTCGCGGCTTCGACCAGGAACATGGACGAGACTTCACTGAAACCTTCGCTCCGGTCAGCCGCCACACTTCACTTCGAATTCTTCTCGCCATCGCCGCTATGAAGAAGAAGAAACTGCGCCAAATCGACGTCGCGAACGCATTTCTCTACGCACCGGTCGATGCAGAGATTTTCGTGGAACTACCGCACGGCTCTAATACAAATTCCACGCACGTCTGCCAGCTACTAAAATCGCTCTACGGGATCAAACAGGCGCCGCGACTGTGGCAACAGTACCTGCATGCTCGCCTCATCCGTATCAGCTTCAAACAACTCCCGCACGATCAGGGCATGTACCGCCTCACGAAGAGCACTGACTACATTCTTCTAATCGTCTATGTGGACGATCTCCTCTACATCGGTTCTACCGACGGCATCACCACCTGGTTCGAAGGGGAGCTGCAGAAGGACCTCACCCTCACTGTCTTATCTACCGTCACACAGTACCTCGGACTTAACATTCGAGAAGATAACAACGCGATCTACCTCAGCGCCGAGAAGTACGCCGACACCATCGCCAAACGATTCAGTATTACGCCAGCCGCGATCTCAACACCATACCGCTACACGACAGGAACCGACAAGGAATCTGCTGTACTTAAGCCCGCCGGCATACGCGACTATCAGAGGAAGCTAGGTTGCCTTCTCTTCGCAGCCGTCACCTGCCGACCCGACCTATCCTACTCCGCAAGCCAGCTCGCCACTTATCTCAAGAAGCCTGAAGCAGAACACCTGGCGGAACTTGACCGCGCTCTTCACTACTTCATCAGCACCGCGACGATCGGCCTAACTTATCATAAGAACGCAGCTACACCGACCAAGTTAATCGGCTACGTCGATGCCGATCATGCCGGCGACACCGACAACAGGCGCTCACGCACCGGCTACGTCTACCGCCTCGAGCCTATCGGTCCTATCTCCTGGCAGTCAAGCAAGCAGGAGTTAATCGCGCTATCTTCAGCTGAAGCAGAATATATCGCACTCTGCTCAGCCACCAAAGAAGGACTCTATCTTCGCGAGCTGCTGGAAGAAGCGAAGTTAGCTGAGTTACCCAACTTTAACGTGTTCTGCGACAACCAGTCAGCAATTCGCATCGCCAACAAGAACGGCTTCGCGAACAGGACGAAACATATTGCCCTACGTTACTTCTTCGTGAAGGACGAGATCGAGAAGGGAAGACTCGAGCTGTCATACTGCCCCACATCCGAGATGGCAGCTGACTACTTGACCAAGAAACTCGGAAAGCAAAAGTTCGAGTATTGCATGCTGCTGACTGGACAAAGCCACGTCACCAGCAGCGACACTCCAGAAGCGAAGGGGAGTGTTGGAAACAATAAAACTTAAGCGCTTCAGTCGTGTCGAAAACACCGCATCAGAAGCGAGGCAAACTACACCGAAGCACCCGCGAGTCAACCCTCGGGGGTTGAAGAGGTTGCTGGAGGTTACGCGAAAGTCAAAGGTCAGCGATCTTTGACCCGACAAGTACAGCGCGACAGTTAAGGACATACAACTGACTCGTTACAGAGCAGTTGCCCGAGTCGTACTGTATCGAACCGCAACAGCAACAGCAAAAGCAGTTATAACTGTATCCCTTGATATCTCCCACATTATTATATATTCTTGTACTCTCTTGTTATAATTAATCTACTTTGCCCTCACATACTAGCGCAAGGTGGTTCACAATTTCTTCACTGAAAGCTTCCGCTATTACAATTGTCCTATCCAGAGTTCTCCCCTGAAAAGATCCTAAGGGGCTATCTCAGCCCAACACATCTCACCCTCCCCTCTCCTCTCATGTCAACAATCTCCGCCTAATGGACAGGGCGGGTTCTCCACGCCATCTCATGGGGAGGATGCCGCATGTTTCGGGACAAGCAACTGCGAGTGACAGCGCAGAGAGGGCATTGTATGTGTGGTGCCAAATGCGTATGAACACACACATTACATCCAGCTGCCAAGGATTGTATTTGCTGCAGTTCGCCTTTGCATGATAGAGTTCTAAAAGTTAACACAACAATACCATATTGGTACAAATATTTGGAGCAGAGCCCCTCTCGCTTCATCATAGGGGCAACCGCTTACACAATCGACATGGCCATGGCTGGTCCTTCTTAGTCTCCTAAATATGGACCCATATCCACATGGCACATGCTTTATTCAGATACCCTCACAGGGAGGATGATTGTAAAAATTTTGAACCCATCTTGCCATGTATATGACCCATCATGCCACTCCGTGTGCATTCACTGCTTCGCCCAGCCATCCATCCTCACTCCCGCTGTGCTTCGTCCAGCACCCACAGCCGCTGCAGCATCATCTCATTCCACGCGTCAGGTACGCCGGGCAGACAGAAATGTCCGCAGTCCCTTACTCCGTTGGGCAGGAGTGCCCACTTGCCCGGATGCCCATCGCTTCGGAACAGGGTCGGCCGAGCCTGATCCAGCAGCACCACCTTCGCCCCTTGCATTCTCCCCTCCGCCCTCTCCTTCCCATGCATCCCCGCTACAAGCTTCCTCATCACCCCATTATAAGGCTCCATCGTCATGTAGTTCCTGATAAACCTGTCATTAAGGAACCCCGTGGCGTTCATCGGAGCCTTGTGTGGGCACTCGCTCTTAAAACCCTGGCCCGTGAAATGGGTCGCCGAATTAGTGGGAATAACGAGCACCTTGCCTCGCATGCGGTCGCTCTTAAACACCCCCAGGGTCATCTCCCAGGCCTTTTGAAACCCCTCAGCAACTGACAGCTTTTGGTGGGGCGGCGCGAATCGGAATCCCGAACCGTGGATCTTCTGCTCGGTCCACCAATGACCTGCGGACACGTGGCGGGGATGGGAGACAGGAGGACAAAGAACAGATCAGCAGGTTCCAATCTTCACATAACATCACACAACACAATGATCAGCAAACAACGAACAGAAGTGGCTGTATGAGCGATTTTCCAGACATAACAGAAAACCGCGTGCGCGTGAGAGTATAATTAACATAATCAGATTCTCTCCTCACCTGTGTTAATAACGAAGATGTCGTGTTGATCCAGTCGCTTCATCCATCTCTCGTCCGGCTTGCCCAGGTCCATCACGCCGCCGCCCTTGGGCTTGCCGGGATCGTCCAGTGTCAACTGCACCATGAAATTCGTGCGATAGAACGCGAGGGTGAAGTTGCACGACGGCCACAAGAATCCGCGCTCCAGCCCGTACGACATGTTAATCCCCGCCAGATCCTCCGGCATCCCGTAGAATCCGTACATGAGGCACGCGAGCGACTCGAACGTGTTGCGCGTGACGGAATCGCCTATGAATGCGATGCTCTTTCCGGCGACGAGGCTGCAGAGGGTGGCTTTATTCAGCGTGGGAAGCGGGCAGCCCGGGGTTGTCCATCGGATGCGCTCGAACAGGCGGTCCGGCCGGCCGTTTTTGACGCAGTTTTGATTTCCGTAGATGAACGGACACGTGGCGTCGTACAGCGGCCACGTGGGATCCACCTGCCACGAGCCGCGTTCCATGGAGCAGCTCGTGCGGTCCTCAGGATTTCCGGCACCACCACCCGCGCCCCGCTGCGACGACCGCTCCAACACTTGCTGCTTCGCGACGGGCGAAACGTCGGTTACCAGGTTGTCGTCCAAGGGAAGAAGGGCGGGCCCCGCGGCATCATCCGGCGAGGCGCGTGAGAGCATGACGTCGTCGGACGTATCCGCGCCGTCGACGGCCATGCCGTCATCGACGTAGAGCTCGACGCGTCCCACGGCGCTTGGTCGCGGCGGCCGTTGAATCACCTGCGGCTCGAACACCGCCTGCTCCACCCGCTCGATCTTATCGACCAATTCCGTGATGCCAGCTAGACGCCGCCTCGCGACGTGGTGATGGGAGTCGGAAAGGGTTTCTGTGCGGTCTTGAGTGGATTCGCTGGAGTGGAATGCGGTGAAGGACTCGAGGAAGGAGGTGAGGGAGAAGGGTGTGGATGATGCTTCGGTGACTGTCAGGAGCGAAATTACGAGCGCTAGTAACAGTAACCATGACGTTTGCACGGAATCTGGACGACGAAAAGTGCGCGCCATTTGCGAGGATTTACAAAGGCGTTTCGTGAACTTATGGAAACGAACAGAACTGCTTCACTTGAGCAAAGGCACTCTCAGCGGAGTAGCCTTTCTTCGCATTTAACTACCAACAAACTGAGAAATCTGACGGATTTATGCCTTTTTCGGTCCTATGGAGCGACGTGTTAGAAGCCAGACTCACAGGAGCGTCCTATCTAGTACGCAGCTTGCCGCAGCCAGTTCTGAAGGCAGAACCAGCATTTCCGTTCTTGAAACAACACACTGGATGTTCAAGTCTGACGAAATTGTCAACTCTTCCTGTCGTGGTCGGCAGGATGGGATGGGATGGTGATTTCCAGCCCACACTCGCAAACGCATGGTGGTATGGTATGGTATGGTTGGTGTGGGGCGGGGCGGGCCAATTTTCTCCAAGCGACAGCTTGACCTGCTCTGCCTTGCACATGCGATCCGCAGATTGTGGAACTGGCTGGCTGTGTATGCTTGGGGCATTGGCCAATGGCCGCACGGTATGGAAGCGCGTCACGGGATTGACATTGAGGCCGATCGAAATAGCTGCGCTGTGATTTGCTTGGTTGCGTGGGCGCTGCGCTGATTGGGCGTGGAGAAGCGAGAGTGGGCGAAGACCAACAGGTGTAACCAGAGGGCAGAGTGTGGCTGCGACAGGTAGTGGGCGGTTCGTGATATGGGATGGTTTGTTGCTGTGGTGATGGTATGCGGTGGGGTGCGATAAATGAAACTCACACGAGGGTCGGATGTTGCAGTAGTTTAGATAAAACTATGACTGCAGGTGCTCATCTTTCGGTATTATAGTCCTGAGTAAATGGTATGGTAGATTCACTGCTGTATATATCCAACTGCAGGAGGTCAAGCACCTACTTCTTGAGAATATTTGACTCGTGGTTTATTTACATCATTGCACATGGCACATGTACATGCTCTATTCCCTTGATTTCAGCCACAGCTGACCCAACAACATCTCATTCCAAGCATCAGGCACACCAGGCAAGCAATAGTGCCCACAATCCACTGTACTCGATCCCGTATACACCCCGGGATGCCCATCCTGACGCCACACAGACACCGCATGAATATCCAAAACCATCGCATCCGCCCCTACCCAACCCGCCCTCCCCCTCGCCTTCCTGTACTCCTCCACTGCACCCCTCACCACCGCATTAAACCCATCCATGTGCGAACCCGGGCGTTTGGCCGCTTGATTTCCATCAAGAAAGGGTTTAAGGGGTTCAGTGTAGGAGCACTGGTTAGAAGAAGGTGCCTCTTTGTGGCCAGGGACGCTGGTGGTAACCACCACGAGCTTGTTACTGGATTCAGGAGAGGAGAAAGCGGAGAGCGCGGTGTTGAGGGCAGTGCGGTAGGCAGAGAGGAGGGAGGTGGGGGAGGCGAAGGAGGAGTAGGGCGGTGAGAAAGGGATGCCGCCTAACCAGAGGCGCTGGGGTGACCACCAGTGGGCTGTGGGGAATGTGGAGATGGGGAAGATAGAGAGACACACACAGGGAGAGACACACACAGGGAGAGACACACACAGGGAGAGACATGGGGTGAGAGACGAGGAGAGGAAATGACATAAGCAGGAACATGGATAGAACGGGGGTGACCACCAGTGGGCTGTGGGGAATGTGGAGAACTGGGAGAGAAAGCAGAGAGCGCGGTGTTAAGGGCAGTGCGGTAGGCAGAGAGGAGGGAGGTGGGGGAGGCGAAGGAGGAGTAAGGCAGAGTAAAGGGGATGCCTTGGAGCCACAGTGGCTGGGGTGACCACCAGTGTGGGAAGGAGACACGGGAAGAGGGATGGGATGAGAGATGGGGAAAGGTAATGAGACGGGCAGGACCATGGAAAGAAAGGCATGATTCCTAGCCAGAGGCGCTGAGAAACGGGGAGAGACACGGGGAGCGACACGGGGAGCGACATTGGGAGAGACATTGGGATAAAGGCAGGGAGAGGCATGGGAAGGGATACGGGGAAAGGGAACGACATGGACAGGAGCACAACAGGAGAGAAAGTGCGTGTAAAAACACGAAACAATATCCCAATGGTTCAAGATACACACTCCTAAGCAGCACAAATCACAAGCATCTACCAACTGCTTTGCTGACAACCCTAAGAGTGTCACTGGTTGCTGCCCGTCAGACTACCTGTGTTGATCACGAACGTGTCATGCTCTGCCACGTGGTGGCCCCAGTGCATGTCCACGTGGCTCAGGTCCAGCTGGCCGCCCTTGCTGTGCTCGCCTGGCACCGTCAGCGACAGCTTGGTGAGATACGCGCTCCTGGGACAGGAGGAGGGGTAAATGAACAGGGATGGGGGGGGTTGGGGAGAGGGTGAAGATGAGAACGGAGCGGAGAAATGGCGGGAAACGGAACGGAGAACGGAGGGAAAGCGGGAAATGGCATAGGTGCCATTAGCGACAGGTTGGCGAGACCAGCGCTCCAGGGGCAGGGAGAGGGGGAAAAGAAAAAGAGAGGAGGGGGGGATGGGGGATGGGGGATGGGGGATGGGGAAAGGAAGGGAGACGGGGAACGGGAGAGGGGTTGGAGAGGGACATGTTGACTTTTGAGGCGCCTCAAAAGGCGCCTCAAAAAACATGTTGCACTCGTTGGGTGCTCTGTGCGACAAGTGCGACAGGAGCACCCCAAAGCCAACTTGTCTCCCTTCCCCCTCCCAACCCCAGTAAGACCTGCCCTGCACCAGTAGCAGCCTCACCGGTAAAAGGCGACAATGGTGTTGCAAGCCGGCCAGCGCAACACCCGCTCCTGCTGCCCCACGCTGACTGGCACTGGGGAGCTAAGTTGCGGAAGACGCATCTAGCGTCTTAGACGCAGACGGGGAGCCATGGAAGCGGTGCAGCAGGCAGATGAGCGACTCCTACCCCCCTCACCTACCCCCCACACCCCCCCCTCCTCCCCGTTCGCAAGTACAAGCCTCACCAGTAAAACGCGATCGTGGTGTTGCAGGCCGGCCAGCGCAACACGCGCTCCTGCTGCCCCACGGACACAGGCGTGGGGGAGCCATGGAAGCGGTGCAGCAGGCAGATGAGCGACTCGAACATGTTCTCCGTTAACGAATCGCCCACAAACGCAATGCTCCTGTTCGCCACTAACGAGCACAAAGTGTTCCCGTTGAGCTTCGGCGCGGGGCACCGAGGTTGCTTGTAACGAAGCCGCTGATATAGAGTATCTGGCCTGCCGTTTTCCATGCACTGATTCCCGGTGTGCCAAATGAGGGGGCAGTCTCCCGCCTTATAAAGAGGCCAGTCCGAATCTTCCTCCCACAACCCCTCATTAGTGTCACATGGCGATTCCACGACCAAACCATCCAGCCCCACTTTGACCTCCGTTAGTAGACCGCCTTGATTATTCTCCGTCAACACCGAAGACGCTAATAACGAGGATGATGCCTCTTTAACAGATCCCATGCCATCCGCGACATAGAGCTCGGCTCTCCCCACGATATTCGCACGCTCTATCGGGTCGTCGCCTTCCGTCGCACGCGATTCCTGCTGCGACGCTGCGACAGCCGGCTTCGGCTCTGCTTTCGCGAGGGACCCGGGAATGCGCGGGAAAAGCGCCGCGGCGGGTTTCGAGTCGCCATGCTCCCGCAGAGTCCGAGGCGGCTCGAAAGTAGACTCCTCCTGTGCGACGGATCGCGAACGACGATCTGCTGCAAAACCTTCGTCTCGGAGAAGCCGTCGCTCAACCGAAACGGGCGACGAAACTGCTCGTGCTAGCGACGATTGTTGCGCTGTCGTTTGTCGCGGGAAGAATATCGAACGAGTTCGGTAATGCGGGAAGGAGAGCAGATTGCGAGATTTACGGTCCGAAGTGGATGAACGGTGGAGATTCAACGAGGAGATGGTGACGAGATGTGCGAGCAGTAATAACGCGAGGAGGATGGGCGAGCGACACATGCTGCTGGGTAATCGGTCCGGCGTAATAACGAAACGAAAGCTTCACCTGTAATCGTTCACCACACTGTACGGCACTGAAACTGCGAATCATAAAACACTGGCTTTTCCACATTATCCCGCAACCTCGCGCCGTTTCAAGCCATTTATAAGCTTCATTCCACACGCCCCTGGCGCGTCATCGAGTCATACGCCAGGAAACTCAGCTGTGTGACCGCTACTTGCGGGGAGATAAGCAGTTCACATATATCCACTGGTGGTCACAAAGCGACTCGAGCACTACGGCAGCGGGTGGGGAGGGGAGGATGTATGCTCTTCCGTTGGACCTCGTCAAGAGTCACATCATTTCGGTACAAGACTTACAGTATACGGGTGTATAGGATTCAAATAATCTACAATAAGATTGGGAATTGCTGAAAGTGTGCACCTACTTCGACAGGTGCCTGTCTACAGTCCAAATATCTTCCTCACTCTTTGCTCTAATGTAGAAGTGTGCATGTAGCTCACGATTCGCGGGATGCTTCTAGTGAACCCATCCAGAATTGTGGATATGATCCATTTCGTCAACGCCACGAGCCATCGCTAATGAAGGTAACCTCTCGTGAATGCGTTCGCCTGAATTCGGATACAGCCTAGCACCACCACACAGATGCTGCTTTTCACCAGAGCAATCCCTCTCCCCATGCCATGTCGCGTCGCGGCGCGTGCCGTCATTCAACCGATTAGCGCCGCCGTCTGCAAGCAGTTGCCGAGCCGAGCTACTCTACTGTACCTCATCTCACCTTCCTCGTTGGAAAGCGCGCCCTCCTCGCTGTCCCGTCCATGGATGTCATGATCTCACTCACCATTATCGATGCTCGAATCGCTCTCGTGAACCGGCAAGCGGAGAAAAGCGGAAAGCGTGCTGGGCGGGTTGATTGCGATCCGCCCTCCTCTTGCGCCGGCGAATGTTAGCGAGTCTGTAACATCTGCGCGTGTCACCAACGGCAAAACACAGCCGCTGCGACGGTCTGGCTAGTGACCGTTGTGCTCAGTAGCGCGTCACTGGCAGGCGCTCGCTTTCAGTTTTGAGGCGCCTCAAAATACACTTGAATGTCGCCGTTTTGCGCAGTCGACTAAGAAACCTCGGTGCTAGGAAGCGCGTCACATGTGCTCGCCTTAGAGAGTGTATAACACTTTGCGTTGCCGCGTTACGCCGCCTCGAGAACGCTCCGTATAAGCACCTCGTCGCACAGGATCTGCAGCGACGTACCGTCATCAGTATCGCGGGTAACCATGGACCCTAAATTTAGCGAACGTCGCGGGTCCATGTTTCGCGTGTCGCCGAAACCGCCAGCCGACCAATGTCAATCTCAGGCGACAGTTACATCGTCATCGGAGCTATTCGTCAAGGGTTCGCCGAAGTCGCCAGGCCGAACCGCTGTCGCGAGCTGTGTATCCCTTCCCCGTCTTTTCGCACTCCTCGTCCTTTTAGGGTGCGCCGGCTTGTGGCCGGCTTTTCTCCGCACCGCCGCGAATCACGCCGACGATCGCGGCGCTGCCAGCGGGGATACCGGCTCAGAGTCGTCGGATAACCTAGGCATGCGAAACGGCTTCTTTAGCGTGTTTGGCGGGCCGTCCGCGATTCGCGGCGTGTTCTCCGCACGCCAGCTGATGGAGATGACGTCGGATGGAAGGCGCCGCGTGGGGGGAAACATGCTGACGTGGCGCGATGATGCGACTATAACGCAAGGGCAATCGGAGAAGGGGACGGGAGAAAAGGAGGAAGGGGCGGGAGAATCAGCGAGGGGGGAGGGGGAAGCGGAAGGGGAGCATGCGGAGGGAGGGGAGGAGCGCGCGAAGCGCGCTAGTCCGGCTATGACGCCAGACACAGCGCTCCCCGCAGTACTCCGCGCGCGGAGGCGAGGGGCGGACGAGGGTGTCAGTGTTGCGGCGACTGGAGCGCTGCGCGCTGCCTCGGGGGACAATGAGGAGGCGCGCGGAGCGGAGGGCGCGGGGGAGATGCGCGGAGCAGAAGGCGCGGGAAGAGGGGTGGGGTTGGGGGATGGGCGGGGAGAGGGAGGAGAAAGAGGAGGAGAGAGAGGCACAGAGAGCAAGGAGGGAAGCGTGGAGGGAAGAAAAGAGGGGGGTGAGGGAGGAAAAATGCGAGCAGGGGACAGAGAAAGGGGGGGATTGGGGGAAGGGGAAGAAGGGGGGAAGGGAGGAGAGGGAGGGGGGGAGGGAAAGAAGGAGGGAGGGGAGGGAGGAAGGAAAGGAGGAAGAGAGGGAGGTGAGGGAGGGGAGTGGGGGTGGCGGTGGGTGGACGAGAAGGACCCATCCTGGCCGCTATACTCCGCTGCATCCTGTCCGTTCATCTTCCCCGGGCAGAACTGCCGATCCAACGGCCGCAACGACACGAGATTCGAGCGATACGCGTGGCGGCAGGGCGGGGAGAGGAGTGGGGACGGCCGGGAGGGCTGGAGGGGAGGGGAGGGAGGGGAAGAGGCGGAGGGCAAGGGGAAGGAAGGAGGGGAAGGGGGGGAAGGAGGGGAAGCAGGGGAAGAAAGAGGGGAGGTGTCGGAGGGGAAGGAGCGGTCGTGGTGTGATACGCTGCGGGGCGTGCGGCATGGGAGCGGGAGAGGGCGAGGGGGTGGGGAAGGGAACGGAGGAGATGCCACGCCTTCCCATGGTGCCATGACACCCAATGGGATGATGACACGTGTGGTGTACATAGGGGACAGCATGATGCGCAACATGTTTGAGAGCATGGCATGCATGCTGCATGCTCACCCGCGGTGCGGCGGCAATCCCGAGGTGGTGCGGGCGAATGTCGTGGAGCGAATCATCCGATGGGACACCTGCAACGTTACCCTCGCTAACCTCAGGTACACCCTTCCTTGTGCCATACACACACCCCCCCGCCCCCTCCCCACACACACACACACACACACACACACACACACACACACACGCACGCACGCACACTGGTACGGCAATCCCGAGGTGGTGCGCGCCAACGTGGTGGAGCGCGTGATCAGATGGGACACCTGCAACGTTACCATCGCTGCAGGTACACCCGTGGGCCGTTGCTGTGCCTACCACACGTGAGCCGGCAATCCCCAGGTGGTGCGGACGAGTGTTGTGGCATAGGTGATCAGATGGGACACCTGCAGCTTTTCCCGTGCTGAAAATCCCACACGGTAATCCCAAGGCGGTGTATGTGAATGTGGTAGTGACATGTGATCTCTGGCAATCCATCCCTGATCACAGATCACATGGCCCCATCCCTGATCACAGATCTCTTTTAAGGATGGGGCTGTGATCTGTGATCACAGAGTGGCGCCCTTGACCCCATCCAGCCCCACGGATGGGGTCAAGGGCGCCACTCTGTGCCTGTGCGTTTGAAATCAACTCTCCTCTTACGTCCCCAACCCCCTTGCGCCCATCCCCTCTATCCCCTCCCCCTCTCCCCCCCAGGAGCAACTTCCTCACGGAGATCTCTTTCAAGGACCCAACGGAAGAATTCAAGGTCGCCACCCTGCACCTCCCACTAACTGCTTAATACCTCCCCATACCGCACATCACCTCTCCCTGCCCCTCTTGCCCCCTCAGGAGCAACTTCCTCACGGAGATCGCTTTCAAGGACCCAACGGACGAGTTTAAAGGCGCCACTCTGCACCTCTCTCGACCGGACAAGCGGTGGAAGCAGCGCGTGAAGAACTACGACGTGTTTGTGATCAACTCAGGTGAGGATGGTGAGGATGGTGAGGATGGTGAGGATGGTGAGGATGGTGGTGTGTGCCTGTAGCACAGGTGATGCACATGCAACACACATGTATCTGTCTCGCCCTGACAAGTGGTGGAAGCAGCGAGTGAAAAACTACGGTGTGTTTGTCATCAACTCAGGTGAGGATGGTACTGGTGTTGGGTGTGCGGTGTTGGGTGGTGGTGTTGGCATGCATGCATGCATGCACCTTGAATACAAGGGCGCCACTCTGTACCTCTCTCGTTCCTACAAGCGGTGGAGGCAGTGCATGAAGAGCTACAGTGTGTTTGTCATCGACTCAGGTGAGGGGGGTTCTGCTAACTGCGGTGTGTATATGTTTACATATGCACACAGATTCTTCACTTCTTGCTGCTTTTCTCTTCTCACTCACCTTCCACTCCATCCTCCCCTCACTCCCTCACTCCCTCACTCACCCCTCTCCTTAATTCTGTCCTTCCTCTTTCATCAGGCCATTGGTGGACACGTGGCAAGCTCGCAGAGCGCCACGTCAGCTTCTCCCCACCCCACAAATCCCTCTCTGTTCTCTCTGCCTTCCGGCAAGCCATCCGCACCACTCTGCACCGCTTTGAATCGCGCCATATGACCGAAAAGACTGTCATTATTACCACCTCCTCCCCTAACCACTTTTCCCATAAACCCTCCTCCACCCATTTTCGTGACCATACAATCAGCCCCCACTCCTTTCAAAGTACCGCACCTCAGTCTTTAGACTCCCCACTTAGTCAAGACTCAGATTCCTCTAGACACTTAGCTAAGCGCCGGAGATTGCTTGCAACCAGCGGTGCAAAAAAGCACTCCAAGAGCAAAAAGAGCAAATCCGTTAAGAAACGCGGGCAGTGCGATGCGGTGGATCCTGTGGGGAGTGAGGAGGAGGCTTTTAACGAGTACGAGGTGCAGTGGGAGCGTGTAGAGCGGTTGAATGCGGTGGTGAGGGAGGAGGTGAGGGAGTATCAGGAAATGCAGAGGGAGAGAGAGGAGAAGAAGAGGAAGAGAGAGGGAGAGAGTGAGGCGGCGGGGAGTAGGAGAAAGTTACTTCAAGTGGCGGGTGATGCAGCGGCAGCAGCAGCAGCAACAACAACAGGGGGCGGCGCAGGGAAATACATTGTGCTGAAGGCAGGTCGGCAAAATGTGGTAATTGCAGGGCAGAAAGCTTCACGAGATACAGGGCGGCAAGCAATGCTAAACGCAAACACCTCGTTGCAAATTGCACGCTTGCTGCGGCACGGAGGCACCAGAGCTTGGGAAATACAGCAGCAGGGAAGGTCAAGACAGCAGCAGGGAAGGTCAAGACAGCAGCGGGGCGAGCAAGGGATGTTGCGAGCGGCAGGGTTGCGGCACAAGGGACCGTCAGAGGGAGGGAGAGTGGACAGGGGAAGGCGAGAGGAAGCAAGAGTGGAGGGCAGAAGGCGAGAGGGAGCTAGAGTGATGTTGTTAGAGGTAGCAGCAATGAGTGTGATGCGGCACGATGGGCATCCAGGTGTCTTCTCTGGATTGGCTGGCGGGCAGGCTGACTGCGCCCATTGGTGCTTGCCGGGCGTGCCCGATGCTTGGAACGAGCAGCTGCTAAGGCTATTGTGTTAGGCTTAGGGAAACAAACAAGTGTATTGCGTTGCTCAATAGCAGACTGTTTCCTCTGGTGCTTAGGGCGTGTAACATTGCGATGACCGAAGCCAAAATCCGACCATTTGGTTGGGGCGTGCGAATGCGAAGGGAGTAACACGATGGCGAGGGATGCGAGATTTTCCCGCCAAATGACCACGATAGTGACCGATTCAGCAAACGCCCAAACCAAGCGACCGTAAGTGCGACCACTTTGGTCACGAAAACATCCCCGCCGTGATGGTCACCCGCAGAATAAAATCTGGGGGAACACCCACAGATAGCATTACGTGGTAGTCCCCGAATTTGTCTCGCGGAGGCCTATGAAGTTGCTAAACACTACCATCTTCTCGTGCCCCATATAATCCACACCCACATCGAATACTGAACTTTGGATTAGACATTTAAATTCTTATTACGGGGGTAGTTAAGGGTGGGTGCCCCTAAATCGACCACGCCACAACCATGGTCATTGTATCTACAGTGGACGCCCCAGGTGTTTGTTACCACTTCCCTCGTGTTACGAATAGTAACATGTAATTGTTACTGAGCACTCCTCACCGCAGCAAAAAGGAGCACGCAGTATCGAAGCGAGAAAGCGAACCGTCAGACAGTTGGAGTTTGACTCGAAGTGTCAGACAGTTGGGTCGCATCTGGACCGTCGGAGGCAGACGGCATCGGACAGCTGCAGGCAGGATGGTTTTGGCGGGAACAGTTACGAAACTGTACGCGCCGCACGGTTGGGAATGTATTTGAATAAGGGAATGTACCCCTTGTCAAACTATGCATATTGTGTTTGTGTAGGCTGCTAGTGGGGTAGCCCATATGGGGTACAACCCAATGTTAGGGTTAGCTTATGTACCCAACTCTTGATCAATGCATTCATTCCTGCTGTCAGATTCTAACATGGTATCAGAGCACTAAGGTCCGTAGGACCGCTTTTTTTTTTCGGGCCCACCTACCACTGCGGTTACCGCGCTACCCCACGTACCTGCCTGCCTTGCCTTGCCTTGTGACGTGCTGCACTACGCGAGCCGTCCAGCAGCCCTAGCGCTGCCTCCTGCTGCCCTAGGCCAGCGCGCTGCCCCTAAAGGCCCGTAAGGCCCGCGCGCCGCCCCTACACGCCCTCCAGGCCTGCGCAGCCCGCACCGAGCCGCGCGCAGCCCGTTGCTACCGCGCGCTGCCCCCACTGAGCCCGTGCAGCCCGCACAGAGCCGCGCGCAGCCCCCTGCAGCCGCGCGCAGCCCGCACAGAGCCGCGCGCAGCCCGCTGCAGCCGCGCGCAGCCCGCACCGAGCCGCGCGCAGCCCGCTGCAGCAGAGCGCAGCCCGTACCGAGCCGCGCGCAGCCCGCTGCAGCCGCGCGCAGCCCGTACTGAGCCGCGCGCAGCCCGCTGCAGCCGCGCGCAGCCCGCACCGAGCCGCGCGCAGCCCGCGCCGAGCCCACGCAGCCCGCGTAGCGCCGCGCGCGGGCCTACTCCTGCCTCGCGAGGCCCGCGCGCCGCCCGCTGCAGCCCAGCGCGCTGTCAGCGCAGCCCGCGCCGAGCCGCGCGCGTCCCTCTGCCTCGGCCCCGACCTGCCGCTGATACGGCCCCGCTCTGCAGCTGCCACGGCCCCGACCTGCCGCTGAAGCGGTCCCGCCTGCAGCTGCTTCGGCCCTACTCTGCACCGGGTGTTGCGGCCCCGACGTCGCCGCTGTCGTGCGCCTACTACGCCGCTGACCGTTGAGCGCCGGCCCTGCTCGCCCGGCGAGCGCCTGCTCTTCCAGCCTTTGGTGAGCGCCTGCCTGCCTGCCTGCCGGCCTGCCTGTCTGCTTGCCTGTATGCCGGCATGCCTGCCTGCCTGCCTGCCGGCCTGCCTGTCTGCTTGCCTGCCTGCCGGCCTGCCTGCCTGCCTGCCTGCCTACCTGCCTGCCGGCCTGCCGGCCTGCCTGTCTGCCTGCCTGCCAGCCTGCCGGCCTGCCTGTCTGCTTGCCTGCCTGCCGGCCTGCCTGCCTGCCTGCCTGCCTGCCTGCCTGCCTGCCTGCCGGCCTGCCTGTCTGCCTGCCTGCCAGCCTGCCGGCCTGCCTGTCTGCTTGCCTGCCTGCCGGCCTGCCTGCCTACCTGCCTGCCTGTCGGCCTGCCGCGCCTGCCCTGCCCGCGCTACTGCTACTGCTACTGCTACTGGCCGGTGGCCAGATGCAGCCCCAGCGACGTTCACGTGAGTCTCTCACGCCCCAGCAGCTTAGTGAGTGGTATACTAGCTGGGGTTGTCGCGGTAGCAGTCGTAGCTGTCCCCCTGGAGCTGGTCCGTTGGGAGCGACTGGCAGTGGCCAGCTGCAGCTGCAGCGGCGTCCGCGTGAGACACTTACGTCCCGGCAGCTCCACGAGTGGTACGCTCAGTGTAGCAGGTCTACGCGTACAGTTCGCTGCCAGTACGTCCTTCGCACAGGTGATAGGACTGGTCAGCCTTGCGGGACGCTTGGTCACACACAGTCCCGCTGCTTCGCCCGTCTGAGCGACGACTGGCGTACAGTGTTTGGCGACGAGGCTGAGCTCCCCGACTGGCTGGAGCTGCTTGGACAGAGGGTAGATATCTTTGCTCCTGACTATGATGCTATTCTCACTGCCATGTATGCATTGCCTACTAGTGTTGACCGTGCCTGTTACCTGTGCGTCCCGCCTGACCCTGGTATAGCACCTGCTGCTCCCGGTACTGGTGAGGCTGCTGCCCTAGGTGCTCGTGTGTCTCCTCCTCTGGGTGCTGGTGAGGCTGCTGCTCTAGGTGCCGGTACGTTTCCTGCTCCAGGTGCTGGTGGGTCTGCTCTCTCTAGTTCTGCGCCTACTGCGGCCTTGTACACCTTCACGCTTGACTCAGGTGCCTCCCGCTCCTTCTTTCGCGACTGCACCACACTCACGCCGCTTAGTCGGCCGGTTGCAGTCTCCCTGGCGGACCCCTCTGGGGGTCCAGTCCTTGCCCACTACTCCACGGTTCTGCCGTGTCCGGCCGCCCCGTCTGGCTTGCTGTCAGGTCTTTACCTCCCCTCGTTCTCTACGAACTTGGTGAGTGGAGCTGACCTCCAGGATCAGGGGGTGCACCAGTTCACTCCTGCGAGTCAGCGGGTGACTCACTGTACGTGTGCTCGGACCGGCCGACACCTGGCCACGTTTTCCCGTGCGCCTGGCTCGAGTCTGTACACCCTGACCACTGCGTCCGCTCAGGTAGCTGCGTCTGCGTCTGCGTCCGGTCAGCCGACGGCCCCCTGCGAGTGTCGCGCTTTGTCGCACCAGACCCTCCTGTGGCACCACCGCCTTGGTCACCCCTCGGTGCAGCGCCTTCGTGGCATGCACTCTCGCTTCCTGGTTTCTGGTCTGCCCAGGTCTTTGCCTGCCCTGCCTCCCTCGCTTGCGCCGCCCTGCATTCCTTGCGTCGAGGGGCGGCAGCG